CCCCCAACCGGCTCGCCCAAATCTGTCTCGGTCCTTAGATATGTACAATTGGAAAAATAAACGTTGTTTTTTCCCATTCGCTTGTCGCTGTGTTGCTATACCGGTAGTGCTTTTTTCGATACGCTACTTCTTTTCATAGTCTCCCACTGCGAATCTCCTTGTCAAAGATCTTGACCCCCCACACATCGTAAAATTGCAGCGGTCCCACCGTCTTGAATCGCAGGCGTGACCCTCCGTTAAACTCGTCATCGCTGTCGCTCTCCGAGTCGAGGCCGTCCAGCGGGAGGGGCGGAAACATGTTGTTGTGGGGGCCCAGGCTCGTCGCGACCGGGAACTTGTCCTTGCTCTTGCCCTTGGCCCGCTTGTTGTTGTTTCGCTCACCCGGGGCGTCGTTGGCCCCTTCCGACGGCCGGATGACTCGGTCGACGCGATCGTCTTCCATAGCGATCCACTCCAGCTTGAGCTCTGGATAGTGCGACAGATTGTCTACAATGAACCTCAGGATTTCTCGAACAACCCAGATGCAAGTGTCGTTGTTGCGGAAGTGCAGGATGTTGATTGCGCGCAGGCTAACGAGACCTGAAAAGTACTGCATGAAAATATGCTGCTCAAGTTAGCGGTAGGTAATTAATGTTTGTAGAAATCGGTCTGACTTACCACAGCCTGGATATTCATGCTCAGTGCCAGTTCCTCGAGTTTCCGCCCCTGGGTGCAAATGAGAATCATCGTCTTCTCGTTACAGTCCCAGCGAGTGCCGCTGGCTTCATCCTTGATCATCAATCGCCTAAGCTTGCCAATATGCTTTTTGAGCACAAGCCTACGAATCTGATCCATGTTTGCAAAGCTCGGCATTGAAAGGGTCTCGGGCTTGCTCTTAGGGCTGCGCTCGAGCAGGAAGAGGTCGTGTATCTCCTCGAGCTGAGAGGCAAAAACGAGGAATTGATTGCACACGTGGTCGGTGAAAATGCTCCTCAACGGCAGCGGCCTCACCTTGTTTGCCTTGGTGAACAATGACCAGATGGGCGCCTGGTCGCCAACGTTGAGAAGGGTCAGCTGCCTAAGGCATGATAGGTTGATTGTCTGCGACAGGACAGATGCCTTGACGGGGATAAGATAGATGCTCAGAGATGTGAGCATCAGGCCTCTTGTGCGGCGGACATAGTCGCTCATGCTGGTGGTATTGACGCCCGCTGCCCTGCGCTCAGACTCATCCATCTCCTCCTCGATAACCTGGATTTCGTTCTGGAGGTCAGTGATCATAGCACTGAAGCCCCTGAGTTGGGCGTCGGCGTCTTTAATCTGCGTATGATCCATGGCCGAGCCTTGAGCATGTAGGTCGTTGATTTTCTTCCCTATGGCTTCGCTCTGGTTCCGGAACGAGTCAAGTTTGGTCATCAGGCTCTCCAGGTTGACCTTGTGTGCAAAGGATTGAGTGGCGTTGTCAGTCGTCTTGGAGGGGGCTGCGGCGGCATCAGCCGCTGCCGTAGGAGTAGCAGAGCCAGAGGAAGAACCAGTCTGACCAGGTTCCGCTTCAGAGGTGTCCCCTTCGACAGGCTTGGAATCGGCACCATCCGGCAGATTGGAGTCCAGGGTTTCTTCAAAACCATCTTCGAGAACTTCTATATGGGCAATGTCGATATCTTCGGGAGAAGCGTCGGTGCGGTTCTTCTTAGGTGCCTTGCTAGATGAGCTCTCGCTGGGAATGCTCGTCTCATTAGCCTTGTCAATGGGCTCCTCTGCAACTTCCTTGATCGGAGGAGACGTAGCAGTTGTTTCGTCCGCTGTGGTTGAAGACGCGCCCTGGGATACACCGTTGTTGGTGGTGCTTGCAGCCTCCTGATTTTGGGGGGTTGGCTGCCATCCAGTCAGTGCTGGTGTTTCAACAGAATCTACATAATTCCGCGCTGCCTTGGCTATGGTATCAAGCATATCTTGCGCGGTGGCAGAGAAAGTGGAAGATCCACTGGTAATCGTCATGAGTTTGGTAGATGCATTCTTTATGGATTCAATGAATGCTTCTCGAACGTCTGTTGTTGAAGCCTCCGGCCCCTTCCTATCATCTTCCTGCTCAGATTCGACGACATCAGCTTTACGCGGCGCTCCAGGTGGCGGTGAAAACAGCTGGAATATTTTGCCAAGGACGGCTTCTTGAAGTCTTCGCTCCTCGTATACCCTATATGACTTGGAGTCGAAGCTGCCACCATTGTTGTTCTGAGTAGCCGGGAGAACCTGGAACTCGTCTTCGACATCGGAATCGTCTGCGTCGGAATCAGGCGGCGGCTTACGCGCCCGGCTTGCCAACCCATCTGAAAAGGATAGTTGCAGCTCGGTAAGCGTTGAGCTAGAGTTCTTAATGCAGGCATTGAGCTCGCTCACGATGTCAAGGTTTTCAATATCTAGAACACTGAGGCTCTGTAGGTTCTTGAAACCCGAAAACGTAGAAGGCTCCTTTGCACCAGTCACGCGCTTCCCAGTCTTGTTCTTAGGCGCTGACTTGGACGACGGCGGCAGGAGAGAAGGCGGGGGACCGCTGACAACAGGTGGCACAACCCCCGGAGGCGGAGGAGGCAACAAGCTCAGAGGAGCAAGCGGCGGAATGCCTCCCCAATGGTTTGTCGATTCTGGCTGGGGGTGAGGATCGATGGAGACGGGCAGCGGTGGCGGCTGCACGTAGTACGAGTCTCCCGCCTGCATCCGTACATGAAGCTTTTTGAGCGATGCGATTCTATGCAGTTCACGGTAGACAGGTCTGCTGAGTTCCACACGAATGTTCCATCTGAAGCGCCGAGACTTAGCATGCTCACTGACACGAAAACCCCACCAATGATGGGGATCAAGGGTGTGATTGGGCTGGCTCCAGATGGCGACTCACCGGAAAACCTCTAGCGATCTGGCTTTTCTGAGTGTAAGATGCAGGAGCGTGTTTAAAAACTTGCCGCAACTGGCACTATACAGGTAGGATTGGTAACAGCACTCTCCCTTAAGACCAGCGCTGAGAGTGTCCATGGATAGATCCCTCAGATGCTTAGCATAATCATAATTACTTGTAGTGAAAGTATCAAGACCGCCAGCAAGACCGTCGATGGGAGAGTCGAAATTGAGGTCGTCATCGTCGGGGAAGATGATGTGAAAGTTCCTGTAGAGCTGGGCCGAGGCGAGTTCGTGGAAATGGCGGGAGACGAGAGCAAGACATATCAGGTCGCTCTGAGAGCACTAGATGAGAGGACCAACAGGGCACACGTAAGCATAGGGATGCAAAATGGATGGGAATTTTCGGAATCCTCTGGAGAGATGAGCTTGAAAGAAGGGGTTTCGTACGTGTGAGATGATTGCCCGCTGGGTTTCGGTGGGCAAGTTGACAAAGGTGAGTCGCTGCTTGTTGGGCTGAGCCGCCACCTCGTCGCCGGCATCGCTCGTGGCCATGATGGGATACGTTGGGAGAGCGACAGCAGGCAGGCGAGAGGGCGACGCTGGTGAGACGAAGCGCGCTCCTCAGGGCCACAGACGATGCCGGGAGGAGATGTCTCGATGGTCTGGCGAGGCTTGTCGGCCGAGAGCGCGCAACCTGCCGATGGGGAGTGGCGAAAAGAGGAGATGCGACGCTAGGACGACGGAATGGGATTGCGGCGCAAAGAGGCTACAACGAGACCGGGCGCCGAGACTCGAGATTGACCGAATAATGATGCCGATGACGATGCTGGTGTTGATACTGTACTGTCGCCGATGTAGGGAATCGAGAGACGGGGGAGGGTGGACGGTGATGCCCGGGGATTGCGACAGCACCAGATGAGGAGAAGAGAAGAGAAGAGAGAAGAGAGTAGCCACAGAGTACAAGTAACGACCGAGTGCTGAAAGCCGCAAAGTCAGTTGGAGCCAAACTGCCCGGCGTTGGTCGGACAGAGGGCAATCTGCGGCGCCTTGGCGGGTTCTTGGCCTCTGTTGCAACTCTGTTCGTCTGCGTTGTCTCGTTCGCTTGGTCTGGCCAACATGGATGTGGGATGTGGGGAGGGAAGTGGTGAAGAATTGATCATGGGCCAGGCGGGTAGAGGGGCCGGCCAGCGGGGTGGATGCGAGGACAGGCGACCGTTTAGGCGGCTGGCGCTAGTTTTTGGAGAGTTTGGCCCTGTAATTATGGGGGTGTGCTGGCTTTTGGCTAGGTAGGGCCGGGGCTTGGGGGGGCGGGGGGCACATCAATTAGCGGGCTGGGGTTTTTTGGTTGCACCAGACTGGAGGGGAGAATGATGAATGATGTGAAGTAAGACGGACGGCGATATACGGCTGAACGAAGGAAGTGGATGGAGGAGGAGGAGGGGCTGAGGCGGGCGGGGCTGCGGCAAAGCTTCGAGGTGCTATTGAGATCTAACCTGAACTGATTGTAGTTGATTGAAGGCTTTGTTAACGATGGATCGGGACAACATCTGGTAGCTGGAAGAGTCGATTGATGGGCGCGGATCAGAACAAGAGCCGAGTCGAGGGCGCTGATTCACGGCATCGTTTCCCCATCTCGACCCCTGTCCGTCAATGTCAGCGCTTGAGGGGAAATGTACTCGTAAACGTAACCGAGGAACAATGAGCGAGTATGTACCTGCGTTGCAGCTCATTCAGCCACTCTCGCCACTGCAGAGAATCCATTGGATCCCCTCTCGAGACGAGCCAGAGCCGTCTATTGGCCACACTCCAGGTCACAAGGAGGTCATGGAAGCCGAGCTGACGGAGAACGGGGCCACCCGTCCGGGATAAGTCCGGCCACAGGAGGAGTTGCTGTGCTGTACTGTAGGTACCTTTTACAACCAGACTCGTCCGCTTTTGCAGAAATGACGCTTCACGATGGAAACAATTGTCGCCGGTATATAAAGGATTGGCGTCTGCTGCCTTGCTGCAACTGTCCAGGGCTATTGATATTAATAATGACCTTACTGCAACTCGATGAGTCACAGCCTGCTTCGACTAATGCACTCTGCACCTCAATAAGGACACAATCGATCCTGGTCTGGATCCTGTAAATGCACACACACACGCACTGTATTTTTGTCCGCCCAACAGCAGCGCACAAGTCATCAGTACATGGATCAATTGCTGTACCAACATAGGAATACCTGAGGCAAGAGCAGTGATTAAGGTGCCTGTTGATAACCTCGACTGATTCTCTTTACAACTCAATCCTTTACATCAACACAATCCATATCATTCATTCATTCATTCACCACTTACAACCGTCAAACCCAGACACTTAAATACGACAGCAATTCAACAACCCCTGGCAAAATCAAATCAATGCAATGCAGCCCGGTTAGGCAATTGCCGAGCGGGCCTGGCATTCATCGCGCCACACGTCCTGCTTTAGCCGCCCCCATCCATTTAATCGCCTGTTGAAGCTCCAGTCGTCTTTTTTCTTCTGCAAGCTCTTTACGGCATTTCCCTCTCCATCCATTCCCCAAACGAGACTCAACTGCAAAAAATGCCCGCATCTGCCTAAACCAGTGTCACTGTGACTGGGAGCTCTCATCTCATCTGTGCCCGACTATCAAACCACTCGCACGTACCAGTGACCTCGCACGGTGGCAACTGCTGGTGCCAACAACGTGTATCAGTGACCCGGCAGAGCCCCCCGTGAGCCAAGTGGGCTGTGCAAAGCAAGCAAACTGGTTCCGTCTGGTCTCTTTTTTCAAACCAGCTAATGCAAGTGCAGTTGTGTCTTGGCCCTTAAAAATAGCTGAGCCATCTATGTCAACGGCGGTCCCAGCTCTGTCTCTCAGTTTTCTCCAACAATCTTCACCGTCTGCTTCAACATCGCCCAGCACCCGCTCCTTTCCTTGTCGCTCTTTGATGATGCGTGGGTAGCTGGAGAGAACAAAAGCAACAAAAGTTAATTCTTCTTCTTGTTTGTTTTTGCATTCGATTCTTTTTTATCGAGTTTCTTGCAATACATTTGCGGCTCCAAGCTGAGACGTCCATTCGTTCTCTCTTCTTGCTCACTGAGCTCGAATCTCGCCACTCATCCAACCACAGATCCAACCACAGCTTGCCAAGCAACCAAATCTCCTCCTTGTTGTCATCTTTACCAATCAGAAGAAGAACCAACCAACAGAAGAAGATACAAAGCACACAAAGGACATCACCAATCAGACGTCCACATCATGGCAGACACCGAGGAACCGCAGTTTAATACGCTGGCGGAGAGGATAGCCGCATTGAACAAGCAAAAGAACTTTAGCAGCGTCGGCACTCCTGAGGCTGCTCGCAAAAAGCCCAAGCCCCCTCCTCCTCCTGGACGTCCCGCCGTCGAATCCCGAAGCCAGACTGCCCCCGTCGTGACCGTCAACGGCTCGGCTCATGAAGCAGCGCCGCAGCAGCCTCCGAGACCCGGCAGAGCAAATGCCGACGCACCGCCACCATTGCCTCGTCGCAACACACAGAATGCGACGACGCCAGATTCTTCTGCCTCTCCGCCATTGCCCTCGAGGACTGGATCCTTCCAGGCGTCGCCTGCACTGCCGCCGCGACGAACATCAACGATTACCGTCCCCAAACCCTCAGGACGGCGCAACTCGGCTTCATCAGAGGCATCGATGCAGTCTACCATGTCGTCTCTGTCTTTGACCAAGACCATCTCTTCTACTACGAGCAATGGATCCAACGGGACCGTCGTGCACAAGCTGCCACCGGTTTGTGATATGAACAGCTTGCCCCCTCTTCCACCAACAAAGCGAGAACTGGAAGCAAAGGCAAAGGAGGATGCTGTCGCAAGAGAGGCGGCCATAAGGGAAAATTCCGTGAGGATGGCAGCCAGACAGACTGTGAACCAACCGGCGAGCCAGCCAGCCAGACCTGGCCTCCCTCCCAGACTGCCATCCAGGCCAGCTAAGCCCCAGCCTTCGACGAGCACGGAGGCTCTACCAAAGCCAACGCCGAAGCCTGTCACTGTTCAGATACGGGGATTCGGGAGTCTTGATCCTCCAAAGATGCCAGCAAGGCCCAGGATTGATGCCGCGGCTGATGACGGGCCCCCTCCAATTCCTATGGCCTCTCGTCCATCAGTGTCTCAGATCCAAGCCATGTCCTCCCGTGCGTCGCCAGCTCCGCCAGTAGTGTCTAATGACTGCTGGGTATGCCGAGACTGGAGCGGACCTGATGGCGTTGCCGCCCAATATCCAAGGGAGCAGCTCCCCCAGCATGATGTTGTGGAATACCTTGCCCGCGTGCTCTGTGACCCATTCCCGTCATACAACGACAAGGCAAGGGCCATCTTCACATGGTTTCATCACAACATCATGTATGATACCAAGGCATTTTTCAGTGGCAACATCAGGGGTATGACGCCCGAGGAAACGATACGCTACGGTGCGGCTGTGTGCCAAGGGTACGCGGAGACGTACAAGGCCATTGCCAACAAGGCTGGTCTGGAATGCGTTGTCGTCGGCGGCCATGGAAAGGGCTACGGCTATACCCCGTTGAAACAAGGACAAAGGCCGCCGCCTCCCGACGCAACTGGCCATGCATGGAACGCAGTCAGGGTTGATGGTGGTGTCTGGCGGCTTCTCGACGCCTGTTGGGGAGCTGGCCATATTTGCGGAGCCAACAACTTGTTCAAGAAGGAGTTTAGCCCCGTCCAGTTCACCAACAGCGGCGAGCGGTTCGGCCGCACCCATTTCCCGTCTGACGGCAGACACCAATTCCGTGAGGATGGCCGCACAATCACTTGGGAAGAGTACATCGTCGGGCGCTCTCAGGGTGAGCCGGTGGAAATCTTTGGTAACTGCGGCCAAGAAGGCATTGCCGAAGACACTGTTGAGCCTGCATCAAAGCAGATACCCGTCAACAGCGGCCAAGTTGTCCGATTTCAGTTTGCACAGCTATGTGAGCACTGGAAGGCGGAGAAGCACGGACTTGGAAAGCCTTCTCTGTTTCTACTACAGATTCATGGCCTCGATGGCCGCAAAGATGACTTCATTCCGATTGAGACGGATGGCTACTGGCACTGGGCCGATGTCCATGCTCGAGACCTGGGGGCGCCAGGGCAGTCGGTCATGGTGCTGCAGCTGACATCGATGGACGGACAAGACGCACGAGGCGTGACGGCTCAGCAATATCTTGCCAAGAAGGGACGGGTTGCGATGGCCTGGGCGTATGTGGCTAAATGGGAGCTGGTTTAAGCATATGGTGAGGTTAAGCATAGCAAGAGAGGGGACTTTTGGACTTGGAAAGAAACTGTGGAATAGGGAAGACGGGTTTGTGATACCCTTTGATGAACGATATACTGCACTTTAGCTAGCCCTTGAGTTTGAGGATTCATGTAGCAGGTAAAAGACGAGAAACGTCTGGGTAATGGTATTCAGGAAGGATATATGACGAGACTTGACGAGTTTACGGCTGTTGTATGCAATCTTGTGACGATTGTTTTTATAAATGGCAATAGTTGTACCATTTATTTTCGACTACTTTGTACTTTGTGCAAGATAACACCAGCTTGTCTGTTTTGTTCCGTTTCAATGCAAATCTGATGATATTAAATACCTACACGTCTCTATTCACACCCCTAATCATTCCCCCAACCCCCCATTCACCACCTTCTGCATCCTCTTTCCTTCATCTCCACCCTACTCAGCACACGCCCCTTCAATCTGACAGAACTTGCACGTGAAACACCCCTCCCCCCCTGGGAGTTGATGACGAAACGCCAATTTTCGCTTTTCCGACATGCTGGTTCCAAAAAAAAAAAAACGTCCGAAAGTTGATCGACGTGGCAGAAACGGGCAGCATTAATCAGATTGTCTTATTGTTTGTTGTTTTCTGGCCGCCCCCTTTTTCTGCCATTGCAATTGCGACGTGGAATTTAATTGTTTTTTTATTTGCGCGTTTCAATGGTTTGATTTTTTTTATTTCTATTTTTAATTTCATTTCGTTGTACATCTTTGCGAGAAGCTGTCGAGCTCCTCGAGCTACCTGCATCTTCTCCAAACTTGCGCCTCTACAACACCTCCGAATCGCCAACATCAACACCAAGCTCTCAACCAAACAACAATGCAACCGATCCAATTCATCGCCTCATAAACAAACCCTCTTCACACACCATCAAGACTCCTCTCTAAAAATTCCCAACCATGGCCCCCTCAGGCTCCCCCCACGCCTCCCCAGCGACATCCCTCTCCCGCTCCGAAACCCTCAGCCTCGTCTCCCTCTCCGGCGCCTCGCTCGCCATCCTCGCAAACACTTTCCACGGCGACGGCGAACCCCTCGTCGCCTCGCTCGCGCTCTCGCTCGTCGCCTTCTCGCTGTGCTACGCCATGATCCGGTGGCTCGGCCCGACCTTCATCAAGGCCGGCTTTCGGGGCCGCGACCTGAGCAAGGTCAACGGCGCGGAGCTGCCAGAGTGCATGGGCGCTGTGTGTGCGGCCGTGTATCTCATCACGGTGATCATCTTCATCCCGTTTCCTTTTTACAAGGACATTGTGGCGGCGACGAGCGGAGGGGGGAATCGGGATGTTGTGGTGGAGATGCACCATGCCAACGAGGGACGGTTTTTGCACCGATTCCCTCATAACAAGGTAAGAAAGAGACATATCAAACCTCCCATCATGTATATACATATACAAGAGAATCAAAGATTCCATCTGTTCCCCCTTCTTCTTCTTCCTCTCCTCTCTCAGCCCATATATGAGGATATATATACTGACCATACACATGGCAGCTCGCATCCTACCTCGGCGCCATCATCTCCCTCCAAACCATCGCCCTTCTCGGCATCGGCGACGACCTCTTCGACATCCGCTGGCGTCACAAATGGTGGATCCCAGGCCTCGCCTCCATCCCCCTCCTCGTCGTCTACTTCGTCGACTTCGACGTCACCTCCATCGTCATCCCCCTGCCCCTCCAGCCTCTCCTCGGCGACCTCCTCGACCTCGGCGCCCTCTACTACGTCTACATGGCCTGCGTCGCCATGTTCTGCCCCCAGAGCATCAACATGCTCGCGGGGATCAACGGCATCGAGGTCTCCCAGTGCATCGTCGTCTCCCTGCTCATCGCCTTCAACGACTGCCTCTACCTCTTCACCCCGTACCCTCACCCGGCCACAGACTCCCACCTCTTCTCGCTCTACTTCCTCCTCCCCTGGATCGGCGTCTCCCTCGCCCTGCTCGCCCACAACTGGTACCCGGCAAAGGTCTTCGTCGGCGACACCTACTGTTACTTCTCCGGCATGGTCTTCGCCGTCGTCGGCATCCTCGGCCACTTCTCCAAGACCCTCGGCCTCCTGCTCGTCCCCCAGCTCTTCAACTTCCTCTACTCGTGCCCTCAAATCTTCGGCCTCGTCCCCTGCCCGCGCCACCGCCTCCCCAAGTTCAACGCCCGCTCCGGCCTCCTCGAGCCCTCCGTCACCCCCTGGTCCCCCGATCGGCAGCCGCACCCTCTCGTCGCCGAGGCCCTGCACCTCCTGCACCGCCTGCGTCTCCTCCGCGTCACCACCGACGAAGCCGGCCTCTTCGTCGAAACAAGCAACCTAACGCTCCTCAACCTGTGGCTCGTGTGGCGGGGTCCCCTAAAGGAAAACCGCCTCGCCTGGGAAGTGACGTTGCTACAGCTAGGCGTCGGCCTCTTTGGCCTCTTCGTCAGACATAAGCTGGCGCTCCTCATCTTTAAGGAAGACAACTGGGGCAGCACAGGACAGCATTGAAACCAACTAAGCTTGACTAGAATCTCGCAATTTCTACACATGTATATATACTATTCTAATTAGACAGCAAGCAAATGGGACACCACGCAAGATTCATCACATACTAGCACTACCCCGTACAAAGGCATTAAAAAGACTTGAGAGTCCAATTTTCTTTGCTCATAGTTCTATCTGGCTACCTTATTGTTGAACCCGATTCATCACAGAACTATATGGTCCCAAAACTCGAACAATCGTCTGTTCAATTCAAAAAAAAAAAAAAAAAAAAAAAAAAAAAGATCAAACGGATTTGTCTGCCATCCATTATTTCACATGTCGTCGTCTCAAACCCAGAGGCCACACATAACATAAAAACCCAGTGGCTCATCCATCATCCCAAATCCGACCGCCGAGCAGGGAATCGCAACAAGTAAAAAACGAACAAGTCCCGCTCTACCAACCCCGTCCAATCCATCCCGTCCACCTAACCCTCCCGTCCAGTTAAAATTCATAATGTGATAAAAGTACACAGAACCCTCTCCCGCCCCCCAGAAAACCCTCGTTTTTGAAGTGTTGGAAAAAGCAACCTTTGTCCTGAAGTTACGCCCCTCCTCTTGAGAAAAGAAAAAAGAAAAACAACAATGAAAATTCCCCGGCCCTTGGTGTCCAGCAGACTCCTTTTTTGTATATCCGGAGCGTTGGGTTGCCTTGAGACGCCTTTTGCCTGGCCCCCAAAACATTGGACCAGGTCAAGGATGCAAAGATAGCAGGTAGCATTGTCTTGTAAGTTTCAACTCCCTGCATCGACCTTGCGGCTCGTCATCTCCCTTGGCGCCAAATCTTTCATTTCCCAAAATCGTCGTCTTCCCTTTCCCCTAAACGCCCGGTAATAGAAAAAAAGTGTAAAAAAAAAAAGTAAAAAAAAAAGATGGGCAACGTATCCGAGTCGTCCATTAACCTTGTATAAAATTTTGAAACAACTCCAACCTCCATTTTTGAGACTCGTCCAATTGATTTCCCTTCTTCCATCGAACGCGGTACATGACTAATTGCGAATTCCTGCCATGAATAACATGAAATGAACACAAACAGCATCCTATCCTACACATTTTATGGGTGACCGTTTGTGGTGGCAGCAGCTGCCGCTGTGGGTGTGGCCACTGCGCCTTCGACTTTCTCCAAAGTTGCCGACTCTACATTCTCCAGCTTGATTTCATCTGCCTCTGAAGGGCTGGGTTTTGTAGTAATAAGTCCCAACGAGGGCTTCACCGCGGCCTTGTTCATCCTGCTCTTGGTGTAATCGCTGAGGCTCAGCTTCTTCTTGATCGGACTCGAAGTTGCAATAGCTCCGTTGACGGTTGAGTTGATGCTGGAGATGATGACGGATTGCACAACAGAGCTGCTTGCGGATATAGGCGTGGCCATAGTTGGGGTAGTGGCATCGAGTGTGGGTAGAGTAGGCATTTGAACTCGGAGCTCAGGTGCCTTTGGCTTCTCTGGGGTGGACTCGGCCTCACTCGGGGGGGCTGCTGGTGCTTCTTCGGGAGGAGGTGGAGGCGGCGCGTCGTGCACTTCCGCATCCTCTACATCTTGCGTTGGGGGAGGAGACGGAGGTGGCTGCGTTTCCTCTTCGGCTTTTGATGAGTCCGGTTTTTGGTCAGTTTCCTCAGCATCAACGTCCATGGCGTCAGCCGTCGAGGGCCGCGAGTCTGAGATGGATGGTCGCTTGCGGTCCTCTTCGGCGCGCGCCCTGTGTCTGTTGTGGAGAAGTCGCTGAGAAAGTGAAATGATTCGCTTCTTGCGACAGGGGAGATCCTGCGGCTGACTGAACCACTCGTCGTCTACGGGATCCGTCTGGATGCCCATATCGCAGTAGACAAGTCGTGGCGATGCGGATGATTGCCTAGCTGGTAAATCTGCTGAGCCCTGGCGGACTGCAGTAGGTTTTGACGAGTTTCCAAGATTTGGTGACCTAGAGCTAGCAGGCGAACCGGATTTGCTTCGGGAGGTAGTGCTTGCATCAGCATAGCTGCCGATGTGAGGGGTTGAGCCGGTTCTGGATTTCGATTTGGAAGATGCCGAGGCTATTGTACTGTCTGATACCCTCTTCTTCTTCCTCGGTGGTTGCTGCTGCTCTTGTTCCATACGGCGGAAGGAGTCTTCCACCATGGCCACCTTGCGCTTGTCACGATCTGTAGGTTCGGTCAATATTCCTAATTGATCAAAAGAGCCCTGGCGCAGCGGGGTTCGATCCCTGCTGGAGGGTTTACTCCGTGCAGGGACCGACTCATCTCGGACCTCGCGCTCAGCATGCTCATCGATGTGGCCTTCACTAGCAGCACGGCTATTTGTGGCATGCCCGGTGCTGCTTGGTGAGATGGTGTGGGCCTTTGTCTTGCGCGATCTCTTCTTGTTGCCGCGAGACTGGCTCTTGCCGTATAGATAGTGTCGATGGAATCGTGCGAAGGCGCAGTTATTATCCTGATCACAGGCACAACCTCCATATTCTGACAATATCCGGTCGATCCAGTTGGAGATGGCCGTATACTCTGACTCGTCGAGTTCAAACTCATCTTGCGCTGCGCCATCATCGTCGCTGAGGCCTAGCAGATGTAGCCAGCGCTGATGGACGCTCTTCTCCAGACGGAAGTCCCACGGCAGCGTAATCTGCTCGCTAGGCGGAATGTACCGGTCGCTGACGAGCCAGAAGTGGTAGTCTGACTTGTTGGTGAGGAACGTGTCCAGTTGAGCGTTGGGCTTGCAGCTTCTCCGAACATAGCGGGCCAGGGAGCCTTCTTTGCGTGTGTCGATGTAGAGTGGTAGGATGGGGTGGAAGAAGACAAAAGGGAGGGGCGACGAGAGATCGGCCCACAGGTTATCACCGTCTGCACAGTAATCCTTCTGGAAGCCAATCTCGCCATTCAACTCGATGAGAGGCACGTCCTTTTCGATGGAAGACGTCGACTTGAGAGAGCGCCAGCGCAGGGTAGTGCCGTTGTCCAGCGCCTGTGTGGCGTCCTTGATCTCAAGCTTCGGTCGCTTTCTCTCAAGAGCAGGCAGTGCGTCCTGGAAGACCTCTGAGTGTCTCCGGCCGACCTCTTTTTCCAGAGCGGAAGACGACTCTAGCCATCGTACCAGGGCGGTGGGGATGGCGAGGTTGGCAAATGCATTGGTGCGAGTGTCGGGCACATCGTTGTATAGAGAGCAGAAGCTCTCGGAGTAGTGGTGGATCTGAAAATCGTCGGGGAGGTCGGGGGGAGTCGTGGCGGGACTCGGGGGGTGCGTAGGATTGGCCCGATTGTTCCCATACGAAGGGCTTCGCTTGGAAGGCTGGGAGCTCACGGACAGGGAGGGTCGGTGGGAGGTTTTTGATTTTTTGGCTGGAGGAGGGTAATGGTCACCGTTGTGGCCGTGCTTGCCGCCTTCTGAAGCCCCGTGGATACCGTTGAGAAGAACCTCGCTGGGCTTGGTTTTCTTCTTGTGGCTCTTGGAAGGGGGTCGCTTGGATTTTTTATCGATGCTCTCCGGCTCCAGGATGGTACTCCTGAGCCGTAGAGTGCGCTCGATGGCCTTTTGTCGATTCAGCGGTCGGGGCTTGCAGTCGGCACACGAGTGTGCAAAGTCCTCTCGGATGGCCTCCTCCCGATTCTCGGGATAGAAGCAATCAATGTGCTGCCATGTGTCGCATGTCTCGCAGTATATTGTGTTTCCGTCGTCGTCAGAGAAATTGCAGATACACTTGATGGTGTAGGGCTCTTCCTCTGGCGCCTCAATCTTGTGGGCGACATCGTCGGGGCCGGTCGGGCCCACGAGCGCGATGTGGTTGGCCTGGGTGGAAACTGCTGCTTGCGTCGACAGCGGAGCTGGCTTGTCTGTCATAGTCCAAAGGAGGACCACGCTGGGTAGTCGATGTCGCAAGGGATGCGTGGATTGATTATTGTCGCGGTCTTGAGAGCATGACGGCGCCGGTCAGGACGCGCGCCGGATGGGTGAGCTGGAGCGTCGAGCGGCCGAGGATCGCGACCAGCCGCGTCATACGCCGGAGCGGAATCGATGGCGCGGTCGAGTCTTGGACAGGCGGCAGGCGGCGTCTGGGCCCTTTGAGCGTCGTGAGTTGGGGATTGAATCAAGGGCAGAGGCCTAGTCGTCAGCCGTCAGTAGGAGCGAAGAGGAGAAAAAAATGGACGACGGAGTCGAAGAGGAGGCGAGAATCACGAGCACAGCTATGGGGGTTTTCATACGCGTCGAGGGCGATGGCTGGACACTGAGGGGCGTCGAACGTTTCTCGCCTGGGTCGTAGAAAATTCGAACACGAGCGGGCGGGAGGCGACTGGACTGTTGGTCGAGTAAATGGTGAGAAGAGCAGGCTGGTCAGCTCAAGAGTGGGATGAAGGGGGCAAAAAAAAGCGGCCGGGTGAAATAAAAGGAGGACGAGGCAGAGGGCAAGGCCAGGCGGCAGCAGCAGAAGTCGGCGGGCGTCTGGATTGATCGGGCTCCTGAGGCAAAGATTCGTCAACGGCCGGCAACGGGGATGGAGGAGGAGAAGGAGGATGGGGAGGAGCGACGAAACTGAGAGGGTGTCTTTGGCTGCAGCGCGAGAACGAGTGCGGCGGCACCCTCGAGGTACGTACCGGCCAGGGTGTCCAATCATGCAGCGTCGCCAGTGCAAGTCCAAGCCCAGCCCAGCCGTAGCGGCACAGTCCAATCCGGTGTCGAGGATTCCGGGCCCCAGAGAGTCCAGAAGGGCAGCGCAGCGCAGCGAGCGAGCGAGCGAGCCAGAGACTGAGGGGGTACGAGCACGGCACTACGGGAGCAGAGCAGCAGCAGGCAGTGCCTTGGTGCACGCTTGGCTGGGCTGGGCCGGGCTGGGCTCGCTGTAACTCGTACCGTAGCAGCAGTGCCCGTAGCACTAATAAAGCACGGAGCGCTGGTGCTGGTGCTCATCCTGCTCTGCTGCTGCTGCTGCTGCTGCCGCAAAATGCAAAAACCAGCCCAGTGCAGAGGAAGAAGGGCGGGCGGCACTCATCTCAGCGCCAGGCGACAGAGGCAACAGGCGCTAAGCCCAACGGCGAATGGGCGGTGGGATAGCGACGTCTTAGTGTGCGTCCAAGGCCCATCCATGCACTGGGGCCGTGGGCGTGCGAGTACCGAGTACTTGCACGGAGCGCCGAGTACCTCGCGGCTGGCACGGTGGTGAGCGCTCAGCCCGGTGCGTGCGAGCCAAAAAAGAGGGCGAGACGGGGGGTGCGCATGTAGTGGTGGCAGGTCGGCAGGTATTCGGTGCTAGTGCCTCGAGGCAGTAGTACGACCGCTCGCAGCGCGGTTGCTGCCTGAGGCGGCGACATTGATTGCCATCATCGGGTTCGGGGCTGGGGTACGGGGGTACAAAGGCCGAGGTACTGTACGGTGCGGAGGGAGGTGATGCAGTCAAGCAGGAGAAAAGCTGACGAGGGAGAGAAGATGGTCGAGAGCGGGCAGCGGAAGACGGATGCGATGCGAGAGAGGGGGGGAAGGGGCCGCACCCAGGAGAGAGAGAGAGAGGAAGAGAGTGTGCGCAGGCTTGTATGCGTGTGTAGATGCGAGTGCCGTCTGTAGGTAAGGTTTTGGGTGGGTAAAGCCGCGGGTGGGTAATGCGAGAGAGGCTCTGGATGGGCGGGCAGTGTGATGGATTGATGCAGTATGAGACGGCAGCTTGTACTCGTAATACTTGTAGGGAGTCAGTCGGCATGTGAGATCCATGGCCAGGGGGGCCGGACGATGCTGCATGTGTGATCCATGGTGCATGAATAATCTTGCGGTCGACCACACAGCATCGAGAAAGGAGCAGAGAAAAGTAGGGAAGGGAAAGGAAGAGAAGAGGATAGGGGAGAAGCAACTCACCCGCCATTTGTGCTGCTCCGTCCATCTCAACTGGTTTGATATCATTTGATGTCAGGTCATGTCGGAAGGAGATGGAGATGGTTTCCGAGGTTCTGTGGACGGTTTATAGTTGCAGGATTCAGCCGCAGCTTGGCGAGAGAAGCCTGCCCATCTTGCTCATGACGGTCATATTGCCTGAGGTGCCATGTATGGGCTGAGGCAGCAGCCAGTCGCATAATGATAATGGGGGGAGCCGAAATAGTAAGAGGCTTGAGAGCAATAAGAAAGACGACGATGGGGTGACGAAGATGGTATGTGAACGCATACAAGTACTGACCCCTTGCAGTTGAACAGCTTCGACGGTTTCGAAACCTTGTTTCTCGATAGACTGAGCAACAAGCGAGCGATGTTGTTGACACTTGCAGACGACTATTTGATGGTTTCAAAGCCTTCAGGTTGCTTTGATGCGAAACTGGGAGCCAAAGCCTCGGGGTTTAGCGCCCAGCCGCCGTGCTCAGGCACATGCCACCTACAAGAATAGAAGCAGAACAAGCAGAGCAGCCCTCAGTGGCGTCACCGGTGATCGCATCAGGGTTGATTGGCCACTATCAACCGCTTCCGTACTGTGTGGATGGTGTGGTTGCAGCGAGCCAGGCCGGTGCCAATTTACCACTTTGAGCCTACTTGTACCTTCTCATGTACATTCATTCGGAGTACGACCCAATCAGTATGAGGCGGGAAATTGAATTCATATTAATTACTAGCACATCGGGACAGGATAAAATTGGAGTGGATGAACGTGTCGGGAAGAAGAGCAAGATGGGCATGCCGGCAGCTGCTCTATTTGGCTGCATCTTTCTCATCCGACGCAGCAACTTGCAATTGATTCCCGTCCATTTGCGCTGCTCGGTGCATTGCGGCGTGCGAGTGCGAGTACCAGCAGTATCTGCAAAGTACCTGTACCTGTACCGGCGGGTTTGAAGGGAGTACGATACGGGGACACAGCCAGCTCCGGTGCAGACCTGCGTGCGTCTCCTCCAGGTGCGAGAATTTGAATCTACATTGTGGCTCTCACTGCATCAAGGGATGGCGTCAATCATTTCAAGTCGTCTGCAACACGATTTCACTCAATACGGCACCAGCAGGGCGTGCAATGTTCTCTCCTCCTTGTCACCAAACAAATGCAATGTATCAACGGAGTAAAGGCTACCGACACACACGCCCTGAAAGCCAACTAACACCCACTCGTACTCGTACCAGCACCAACTTTGGCACAGTCAGAAAAGAAAACCCAGCGGGGAATATGCCTGCACCACGAAACACCACCGCCGTCTTATTCGCCAGACGCCAGCCTCTAGTCAAGCCTTGCGCTCGTCATCCCAGCAAATAGCCCTGCCGTCACAGTCCGCTGATTGGCCAGTCACATCAAGCAGAGCACAATAACGGACCTGTGCACTTGCGCGGCGCGCGAATCGCGTCGCTTCATCCTTGGGTGCGAACTGGGGGGGCTTGCAAGCTGGCCAATGAGGCTGCCGGCGCAAGAGGGCGACCAAAACCTTGGCTGCTAGCTACTGCTGTAGGTTTCAGCACCTAGCGTACATACGATACGACTGGTCGTGTTTTGTTTGTTTTTGTTTTGATTGACTCGACCGATTTCTTCCATGTCCTTTTGTTGGATTTCCACATGTCGCCGGGCGTTGAGCTTGCGACGCTTGTTTCCTAATCTACTGTGGCACCGCCAGGCAGGGACTCCGTTGCACCACAATTTGATCCCAATGCACCTCGTCAGCGTCGTAAGCCTACGTCGCACCGCCTACAGCCGAGATACAGAGTAGCACCAAGATTACGTCGCGTGGTAGTGCAATGTTCGAAACTGATCCATTGTGATTGCTCTGATCCTCGTGCTCCTCCACGACTCCTAAACCCTGACCCCCATTCTACCAAACCGTACGCAATCCTAGCCCACACATCACAAAGACATCGTGCCATATCTCTCCCAGACTACGCCCTTCTGACCCGCGCCGCCCCCCATCCACCCAGCCTTCTTCGTGCCACAGTTCAAGCCTGCGCTCACAATGAAAGCACAAAATGTGGTAAATCAAAAATTCCGCCTCCAATGGCCCCGAAGGACAATTGAGCACGGGACGACTCCGCGATGTGCAATGCAGGCCTCCCATACTAGTACTCAGACTGCTTGAGCTACTGAGATACTGAAACAAGGTAAGTATGAAGAAGAAAAGAAGAAAAGAAAAACTGAAAGGGCGCGCGGCGGCGAGATTGTTTTATAGAAGAAGGCTTGGTCCGTGCGCCATCGCCCCACAATGCTGCCTAGAGTGTGGTGCCTGAGGCAGTAATGTCATGCCTGAGGCAGAAACCACTAGAGCGAATCAACTCGGGCTCCCTTCGCTTGCCAAACGCCTCATGCAAACGCCGTGCCGCAGGTGAAGGGGGCGAAATGCCACAGGAAAAGAGAGACGGTGAAGCAAAAAGCGAGGGAGCGTAGTCGCACCTGCTCATCTGTGGAAAAGATATCGATGATGGCGATTCAAAGAGAGAACAAGTGCAGCCTCGTTTCGTAGATGTCAAGGCATGGACGGTACTCTGATGGAGACGGACCCCAATCAATTAGTACGGTACGAGTACGGAATACAGTCAGTCAGTCGCCTTCCGATGCTCTCCTTGTCGCTGTTACTAAGATCACTGGCACCACATAAGCCAAGGGCGCTACTGCTGCTGCTAAAGTGTCTCCCCATTGTACTTGCGCTCCTTGTGCAGCACCCGGATGACGCCGTATTTTCTCCCAGCGCAGCACCATGTACCTGTACCGGGCGGAGCGCATGCAAGGAGTATCAGCGCCACCCCAGCGTTATCTCCTCTGCCATGGAAGCGGAGCCTGATTCTGCGTCCTGGCCAATCGCAGCCCCGGACGGGTCTCATGACGCATCCAACCACCGCTGAGACGCAGCACGGCAGCAGAGCGTCCCGTGACGTTAGTGGTTTGCCGTCGGCGTCACTGTACATGCCCCCATACTAGCCGCTCAACCAGTACGACGGCAAGCAGCGCCAGCCTCACCTCTACTTTCATCATCTATTATCTCATCCGGGTTGCCTTTGTCTTTGCCTCCGTTCTCGAGTCGGCATCTCCATCTCTTCTTCGTCGCTCTTCATCCTTCCATCTATCCATCAGATCCTACTACAGACTCATCGAATATCTAGTAACGATGCGCTTCTCTACCACCGTCGCCTATCTGGCTGCCTGCCTCGCCGCTCCGGCCACGGCCCTCGCCATCTGGGGCGATTCGGCCTCCGCACTGGACGCTTCTCTCAAGGTCCCTGGAGAAAACCCCATCGAGTACTGCAGCGCCGACCGCGACGACGACCTCATCGAGATCAAGAAAGTCGACTTGGCTCCTAACCCTCCCAAGCCGTAAGAATCTTGCCCGACAAATCCTCCCCTCTTCAACTTGGGCTAATGATTCCCCATAGTGGCAAGCCGCTTCTCATCACGGCCTCCGGTGTCGTCAAGAAGACCATCACAAAGGGTGCATACGTCAAAGTGACTGTCAAATACGGCCTCATTCAACTTCTCTCCACAACTGCAGACCTGTGCGAGCAGCTTGACAATGTCGACCTTTCCTGCCCCCTTGAAAACGGACAGATGACCATCACCAAGAGCGTTGATCTCCCCTCTGCCATTCCTCCGGTAAGCCTCCTTTCTAAACTCATCAGCGGTAATCTCCCATGCTTACACATGTCCATAGGGAACCTACAGCGTGCTTGCCGACGTCTACTCCGCCGATGACGACAAGATCACATGCTTGAAGGCGACGGTTAACTTCCCTCGACCAAGTCTGGGCTCCTCCGAGAACACTGAGGAACTGTAATTTCTGCTTTATGCTACGAGAATGATTACGGGCAACTGGCAATGGTGGTGATGATTCGGATTCTGTTTTTGTTTTTCCTTTGACTGCTGGGTGTTTTCTTCTTCTTCTTTATTTTCCTAAATGGCATTGCTACGGCTGCGTTTGCTTCTTCTGGGCGAGATATGCTGTACTCCCTTCAATGGTATTCCGATGCGGTTCATAGGCACATCATTGCGGCGCTCTTGGTGCTCCTCCTAGAGGAATGTACGCGTAATAATCCTGATAAACCAGTACACATTTGGCTCTTGATCATCGTATTTGATATTATATACTCGTCTCGTGGTATTGGGGTCCCCCATGGACGCTCCACACAGTTCCCCGTCTCTTCTAATGATATGACTCTGCGTACAAGATGAAACAATCACTCTCCAAACAGACGACGCACCCGTCTCAGAACACTGTCCTTCTCGGGATCGTAAGGATGATCTTTGCTTGGAATCTCGAGGACCGTGGGGAAGGCAGCGGTGTAGGTATCGACTCGGTGTCGTATCCGGTCGGCAACCTAATGGAGTTCCCTCGCTGTCAGTACGCTTTCGTTGCACGATGAGCACCACCATTTCTGCTTCGGGACAAAACTAACATGCTGGTTGATCAAGACGATGCCAATGTCTTTTCTCTCGGTAAAGCTCTCAAAGGCAGATTCGATGGCTGCGGTCTCTGTCTTGCTGTCGACGACAAGGAAGTTTTTCTGCGCATCGGCGCCGGCAGTGATGTGCTATAGACTGTGTGAGAAGAGGTCCGACTCTATCGGTGGCAGAGCTGCCATTATAATCGCTTGAGGCGAAGGGGTATGGCTGTCCTCCAGGTGCAACTCACGCCGATGCCCGCGAGCAAGAGGCCCGTTACAGAGTCCTATACGTTGATGTGTTTGCGTTAGCAGGATGCGACTCGTCTGGCGAGATGTGTGCGCGGTTTTATCCCGGGGAGCGGACTTGCCTCGTCGCCGATGACGGCGAGGAACTGCCGGTCTTTGAAGTCGGCGTTGGAAGCCATTGCGAGGGCGGACAATGGCGATTCTGGGGGGTGTAGATGGGAGAGGGTTTGGAGGTTGGTGAAGCTTCAGCGACTGCTATAAGTTTAGTTGCCTTTCAGGCCGTTGCTTGTATGGCCCCGCGTTAGAGCGGCTGAGGCAGGTGTACTTTAGTTTGAGGTATCGCCGGAGGCACAAGTAGCACCGAAGGACGCATTCTGCTGTGCTTGGCTGGGTGGTCTCTGGCTTGATAAAGACCATTGATTTGGCTCTGTAATGCCATAAAATTGAGAAATACTGCATTTGAAGCTAGATAAATAATACTAGAGAAATTTTTCGTCTTCTTGATTCCCTTTATACGCAGTATGCGCGAGTCCTTGAATTATTGCTTGATCATCTTTGATGATGGTCTTTGATAGATCTAGGTACTTGGCAGCAATGTACCTATCCAAATGTCACTGGGCGGTAGACTTGCGCTTCCAGCAAGCAAGGGCGCTAGGCTCCAGGCGGAAATTTCGCAGTGGGAAAACCTAGGACCGCCAAAGTAAACAAATTCGCCGCCAGTCCGACAACTCTTTGTTTCTTCTTCCTCTCCAACCACCAGCCGTGGCCATTCTTCTCTTCTTTCACGGTGCAGTCAGATCGCAAGGTTTCTGTCGCCTGTGACTAATTGACTGTGCGAAACCTTCAAATCACACCCCGCGAAGATGCCTCGACTCGTGCGGCGGAAACCGCTCTGGGAGCGCATCACTTCGCTGCTGAATCCCATGGACTTTCTCTTGTGGCTCTCGGAAGAGATGGAGACGAGGGACTGGGACTCGAAGCTGGCCGGCACGCAGCTCGGCTTGGGCATGAACTTTGCCTTTCTGCTGGCGCGCGCAAATTTTGGGTCGTCGTACGAGTGGTCCGACGACGACATTTTTGGCGACGACGGCAAGGCTTCGTTGCTTTCCTATGTGGTAAGTCCTCGATGCAGCCATCGCATGATGTCGCGCCGGACAAACTAACATTCTTTGCCAAGACGTACCCCGTTGTCTGGGGCTTCGCGCTCTTTTCCTTCGTTAACGCGGCTTATGCCTTTACGCGAACGCGAAAATACCGACTATTCGAGGCCAACATCGACCAAGCCCCGTCAACACCCTCTGCACGACGAGTCCAGGTCCAGTCGTCTCCCGCTGCAGCAGCCTCACCGCTACAATACTTTGCCGACAGAATCGCCGCGGGCTCTGCCGAGTCGCGAGCACATCCGGATAAGAAACGAGATGTGTGGGAACTCGCCGTCTGGGACCCTCTGCCCATATCCTTGAGACTTGTTTGCTTGTTCAGCCCGGGACACGTTTTGGCCTACCTTCTCTTTCTACCTCTGGCGCCACTGGATCCTCAGCCTAGTGTCACGGTGTTCAACACCATCGTCATGCAGGTGGTGCTCTCCGGACAGATGCTTCTCCTCACTTCGCGGTTCGCGCAGCAGGCAAAGGATACCGCCATCATCCAAAAGGAGGTCATGAACGAGTACAACACCAAGTTTGTTCATCCTCGACTCCATCCCGTTGTCAGAGATGTTGGTACCCAGTTTGCGGCCGAGCATTCTCCCAAAGGCCGAGGATTTGTCCAAGTTGGCACACCGACAACACTGGTCAGGAAGTCCTACGTGACGCGAGCTACGTCTTCTACCGATTACGACGATCCTGTGTCTACCGGTCGCAGCAACGTCATGAAGCCGCAGGCGTTCAACACTTATGCCCCGATTCGCTCAGAAAGCACACCAACCAACATGATTCAGCCTCGCTCTATTTCTACGTTTAGGCAACACATGATGGCTGATCAGCCTACCGCTCCAACTTCAGGCCCAGCTGCAGCCACGGCTCCTATGCCACTCTCAGCCACATCCGCAAACACGACCAATTTCGGAGGCAACATGGGCATCTACGATCATGACAAGTCGCCTCTGAAGAAAACCATGGGCGTCAACACCTTTAACGAGCCTGCTTCGCCCCGAAACTCACGAGAGATGGCGGCCCTAGAGCAGCAGAGATTCTCTACCAAACACGCCGATTCACAGCGGTCGGCGAGCGCCCTCAGCAGGGGCGTATCAAATCCTTACCAAGGGGCAACAAGGAATAGGGCAGCACAGCAAGAGAGGCCAACTAGGTGGTAGCCTTCTTCCGTGTTGCCAAAACTTGATTGCGCTCGTGGCGGCCGTCAAGATGGCGGATTGCAACATTTATGCGGTGGAATGTATTATTTGAAACTAAATGGTAATATTCTCCGTGCTTGGATTCAGCATAGCACAGCATGACTTTGGCGTTGGGTTTATTGCTTTATGTGTCTTTGGGGTTTGGGGGAGGCTTCTGGGAACTCGTATACGAAGAGTATACGGCTTGGTATTGGGCAGAGGAGGAACATCTTAATGTTGTATGAGATATCAGTTTTGTTTTTCTTGGGGAGGCATAATGAATTCTTTGCTAGGCGTCGGCTCGGTTGATCAGTTTCAGGCGCCATGAAAGATTGAGTTTATGATTTTGGTTCCAAACAGTCACCTGTTCCTACCACCTGAGACGTGAATATGCTGCAATATGCAAGCACGAATGGCCATCTCAGAGCATCACTTTGTTGCCTGGACAGATGCGCAGCCCCTCGGAATACATAATCCGATACCCATGATTATGACTTTTTTCAACTTTGCACAATGACACTTACGCAATACATCTTTAACGCCTTCAGCTATCTTCGGCCCTGGTCGAGCAGCGATGAGCCCCCCGCGGCGATCCCGCGTATATATCGATACATTACCGACACGTGGATCCGGAGGCCGTTGGCTCCCCTAGTATCGATCACTCTTCTCGCTGCGCTCACTCTGCGCCTCGTCAAGATGGCATATTTCCTGCCGCCCAAGGTCTCGGATGCTGCTCTTGCGCAAGCTTCATCCACGCCTCAGGCACCTCCTCTTCCTCCTAAAAAACAGCATCATACCATCACAAGGGTACAGCAACATGCCCTCGCAAGGGAGCAGCCGCATACCCTCACGAGGGCACAGACGGAGCGTCGACGGTCTGCCTCTTTTGGAGGGTGGGTGAAGAACATGTTTCCCAGTCATCGTGCTGAACGCGGCGGCACCAGCAGAGAACAGGGATACTGGGAGCAGATGGAAAAGGAAGGCAAGCAACGGCCTCGACGACGCATGACGGATAGCCAGTACAGCGTTGGGGATGTTTCGGTGGACTCGAGCCATATTACTCGGTGGAACGTGCCGAGGGATGAGCCGCAAGATGAATCGCGTGGTTTGCCTGAGCAGCCACTCAGTGTTGTGCCTGTTGGCCCGAAGCCCTCATCGCCGCCTGATGATGTTGTGCCGGACAGAAGCTGGAGTTGGAGTCCTCATAATGGCTCTGAAGATCAGATCTCCGTGACAAAGGTGGGAGGAGTTTTGCAGAGCAACTATGACCGAAGCAACGATGCCAGGAGAAGCAGTTTGGGTATACAAACAGAGGCTGCAGCAGAACAGAAACAGCCGCTCAAAAAAGATTTGCTTTGGGCGAGAGCCAAGGCTCGACGACGCGAACGACGGAGCTTGAGGGAGAGTGGCGATTATCTCGGCGTGCAAGGCGTCAACCCCCATACTGGAGAGCTGGACATTGTGAGTCCCTCTGGCAGCAGCGCTGGGAGCCCGGCAAGTCATCACGAGACGCCACGGCGCATCTTGAGGACGTGGCGGGATGTCTTGAAGAACCACAAGTCAAGAGACTTGCCCAGTAGAGACGATCCTGTTGAGGACGAGGATCTTGGGATTGCCAGGTCACTAAGGGGGAAGAAGAAAGTGAGAGAGCTGGGCAAAGCAGTCAGATGGAAGAGACGAGGAGGGTCTTCATTTCAGGAACCAGACCTGAGCCCCATTGCTCAGTCGTTGAAAAGCGTGTCTCTGAGTTCTCGTGGGTTTGACTCTTTTCTTTTTTTTCTTTTTTTCACCTTTTCACTTTTTCTTCACTTCACTTCTACCTCACTTCACTCCACGTCATTTCCAACAACATTCACATACAACAGCTGCTGACACTGCAAGCTTATAGGGAGGCCTTCTCACGTTCAACATCCTCCTCAAGCGACCCAGCAGCCAACAGCAGTTTCCACTGGCGAGCCGCTGCTGGATATCGATCCCTCTCATGCTCATTTCTCCGCAGTTGATGCATCCGACAACTACATCGCCGCCTCATCGCCAGCAGTGACTCCCCCAACCCCAACCCGCACTTCGTCCAATTCCACAGTCATTAAGACTCCTCGTCGGCAAAGCCTTGCGAATCCGCCTCTCGTGCCATAGGAATTTCTCGAGAGCGGATCAGGCCTTGGCGGTTCTGGCTCCCAAACGAGTCCCATACCAACAACGCAATCCGAAAACAAGTCTTTTTTAGACATGGAAGCCGAAAGGAACGTCAAGAAATCGTGCACGGAGGCGAGCAAGGCCGCCCTTTCGGCAACCCAACCTACCCAGTCGATCCCAGCTTCTGGCCGGACATTCGAGCGACGATTCAGCCTCCCAGGAATGATGAGCATGACACCACCCAGCCCATACTTGGGCCCGAACGTATTCAGAGAGTCACCTCCTTTGATCCTTCTCGAAGAAAGCCCGTTGGGAGCACTATCCCAGCGACGAAACGCAGAGACTCGCCTTCGCACAAGGGCCTTGAGAATGCGATGGGACCACCATCAGAAGCTACGCGGTGTGAGAGCCGCCAGGACAGAGGCAGTGAAAGATCTAACAGAGGTGTTACCAAACAATCCGGGAGCACAAGCATCAACCGGCCCGCTGCAGGAAGAGTCAGTCACGATGAGGCTTCCTGCAGGCTCCCGCTACCGGCATCGACGGTTTACCAAGATGGCAATAGAAAGGGACATGCTACAATTGAAAGAGGGGGTAGCAAAGGTGGACAAGCAGCGGCTGGAGCATCCTCATCACTTTCACAACCAACCCGTGACGGAGCACGAGCAGACGAGCAACGTCTTGCGCGAAATCACATATCAGGCCCCCGAGACGGAGGAACCTGCCAGCATACCCACCATCACCATTACTGGCTACAACCACCAAACGTCTCTCTCTCCCTTTCTCCTGGACGGGTCGATAGACCCAAACCTTGTCCTTCCACTGACCGAAGTTGGACAACACGGATCGACTTGCAGTGCGCTGGCAGTGACCTCGTTCGAGAACAGCTTGGACGTGTCTCATTCAGGCCCATCCATGAGCTCCAAGCAGAGTCCAACCTCATCGGCAGAGGCCAAAGTGGGAGGCGAACCACAAGTAGGCACTACATCTCTGCAGCAAGAGGCTCACAAGATGCAGCCAGTAGAGGTCCACTGGGGAGACAGACGTACAGCGAAGGCTACGATGCCAGCTCCGGAAGACGACTCGTTGCGCAGATCAACATTTACACAGGGCCGGATGTTGCAGTCTATGAACCAAGGCAAGAACCCGTCAGCAGTGAGCCCAAAAATGCAACAGTCGGCAACGGAGAAACAGGCAAACCCAGTAGATGGCCAAATGCAGATACACAAAATCCCGGGGGCTTATCGAGTTTACCAAGAGCACCAAGACGAAGACGACACCGCAAGTCTTTTGCTAAAGGAGGCCAACACTGATGAATCCCAGGCTCTGGACGCAGCCCCAAGAGAAAACGACAATGATGACTTGGAGGACGAGGACGAGGAACAGCCTACTCCGTTGCAGCTATCTCTGCGGTACCTGAAGGATCTGATCCGGCTATACTGGGCAACTGTATGGCCAATGATTGACCCGCGAACGTTGCGAGTCGCGAACGACGGACCAATGCCTTGGTGGAAGTCCATTCTGTTGATAGTACTCACAGTACCAGCTGCGGCTGTAGCATATCTGTTGGTTGTTGAGGGGGCGAGGTTTGTCATGTTCATGGCCCGGCTGCTGGAATTCGTGGATGATGAATCAGCAATCTGAGTTGAGAGATGGGCTTGTAAGGTCGATCGATATAGCCTGGTTTGAAGGCACATGGAGGGCTGTAGAGATTGCTTGCATTTGTGTAGGGGGTTGGTTCGGGGTAGTTTCGGCCGGAGAAGCAGCGAGGGCATTTTCTTAGCCATGGCGGTGGTTCGAGTATAATTACTAGTATGGTTTATGATTTGTGCTGTGTTTGGCTGCTTTGATGTGCTTGTAATTCCTTGTAACTGCATCGTTGGTTGTTGGCGCGTACTGTAGATCAACTCTCCATTTACAGGGGGTGGTGGAGGTGTGGAGCAGACAGGGGAGGAATGACAGGGCCCATCAAGCTACTATATCCAACCCTCGTATTGAATTACACCAGAGTACTAAACAGAAGAGACTCACCTGTGTGAATATACACGAGGAACTGTAACGACGCAGAAGTGAACAATTTATCGAAAGCCAGCTAGAAAGTTAAATAACCACAAGGCACGAGGGTTTGCTGAGGTTACTGAGCCCTGCGCACGTGATATACCCGGGCACTCTTTTCTTCCTATTCCTCGAAAAGCGCCCCTCCCCTCCATCACGGAAACTCCTCTTCCAAATGCAACAGCAGCAGCAGCAACAAATCATGGCTGGTCTGTTCCGCGTCGGCCTCTTTGGCCGTCTAAACCGCATCCAGCCTGGCGTCCGACGCATCGCCGCCAGCTTCAGTACGGATAGTGAGCGCAATGAGATCCTACGAAAAGTCTACGCGCCATTTCAGAAACTGGTCAAGGAATCGCCCGAGTATCAAGCGCTGGCAGAATCTGGCAAGGTCTGGGAAGATTATTTTCAGCCTGGAAATAGCGAGCGTCTTGGATATGTGAAGGCACAAAAGGTAAGCGGGCATATCTACTGCGTACTCATCATGGTAATGATGCCAACTACGGAGGGTAGCTGCTCGCCGATGTCCTGGAAGATATTGACGATTGGAAAGAGTCCATGAAACTACCCAAAAGTGCAACTGTTCGCAGCCTCGTTGCTGAATATGCACACCAATCTGTCGCAATCGAGGACAACAAACTTCAACTCGGAGTCAGCCTCATGATGGACGATCATCTCAAAGATGCCGTACCTGATCTCGGCGTATCTGCCCACGACCTCTCTCAAATGACATTCCCAGACGTTCATTCTCTCTTTCCCCATGCAGATGCATCCCAGGTAGCAGAACTACGCAATCATCTCGTGGCATCTCACTGGGTTACGGAGACCGCTTTACGCAACCCCAACACGCCTGGGCTTTCAGAAGCCGAAATCCGCTGTCTTTCGGCCGTTCTCCTCAAGGATACAAACGGCGAGCGTCTCTACAATTCTGGATGGGGAGGACGAGTCCCTCTTGGAGGTTACCGACCAGCGCCGATTCGAGTAAAGAGTAACCCTCTTACCATCTTCCCCTACCATGTTGAAGTTCCAGCATGCATGCAACGCTTCATTCAATGGCGAGATAGAGTTACTCAAGAGAAGCAGCTCCATCCTCTCATCGTGGCCTGTCAAGCAACTGTGTATTTCCTGCACATCCACCCATTTTTTGATGGCAATGGTCGAGTGTCTAGACTCATCATGCAAGATTACATGATACGCCATGGTTATGCCCCTGTGGTGATACAGATTTTGGAGCGAGAAGATTACATACGAAAGATTCGACTTGCGCAAGGCGGAGAACCAGAAGAGTTTGTGTCTACGATTTTGACGACTCAGTTGGAAGAGTTGAAGACATTTGGGTTTCGCCAAATGGTGGAAAATAAGTAATGGGTAAGGTAGTAGCTTACCAGATAGATTTTGGTGGAGATAGATTCCCATGTCACATTGCGTGAACACATATTCAGATTAGACAATTGATGCAAATCTAACACTATGCAATCTCCCTGCATCCTCTTTTTCGAAAAAGTGATTTAGAATAAACCGCACCTTATAGGGATGCTGGAAATACTCAAAAAAAAATTACATGTGTATATAACCTCTTGCAAGAATATGCTGACGCAAACAGCTACCTTGACGGGAGATGTTCATCACCTCTCCACATATTCGCCAATCTACCAACAAGATACACGACACTCTTGAAACAAACCTGCAGTGCACCGGAACCCTCCAAGATGGGACAGACGAAAGCCTTGAATTCAACGATACCGATCCAACCGCTCATCCATCGGAGGCGATGGCCGATGTCGGCCTACGCTCAACAGCTGCGACAACAAAGGCGCCGTTGAAGGAAATATTCATGGAGAAACGACTTTTGAAAAACTGAGAAGGTTCTTGGGCGAACCAATCAATACGTGACTAGATGTATTGCTGTTCAGGCGAGGCTGTGGTGGGCATACTAGAGATGCTAAAATGGCATCTTCTAGGCACTTGCATGGAATATAAGACATTTCCACACACCACGGCGAATCATCGACCAGTCAGGGAACATTACTGCAATAATGTAGTCTATGATTTGGAGTAGTAGCATGTTACATTGTGCATCCACCGGGTTATAAAACCCCTTTGAGGCAAAGCCCATCGTCTTCAAAGCTCCCCTGCCGCCCATTATTCCACCACTAGGCAGATTGCATACTAGGATTCGTTGGACACACTCCAAGATTGACACCAAATGATCCCTCAAGGACTTTCATCAGTGAAAGTACCATCCATTTTGCGCTCCACTGGTGAATGAAAAGCTCTCTCTCCACTCGTCGGTGGCCCAACCAACGGTAAACGCTCCCCCTTCACCCACGCAAACACAATCTTAGTCTTGAAGTCCAGCCTCTCATGGCCCTTGGAATCCGTCGTAATCATCGACATCGCCGTGGCCAGACACGTATTGTCACGTATCCTAATATGACCATTGGATATGTCGGCCGTGACTGTTGTGACTGTCGACCATTCCTCTTCGATCGTCTCTGGGGTTGCCGATAGCTCTCTCCTGTCACGGTTGTATTGCGGTGCTGACTTGCATCCTGTAGCAATCTTCGCAACGGTTCTGAATACTCTCTGCGCATCGGAAATTGGGATTGGGCGATATCTCGATTTGTTGCCATGCTTGCCCAGAGTGGTGACATAAGTTACCGACCAGCAGGGGCGCAATTGAAGCGATTTTGTCGGCATTTCTTGTTTATTGTTGGCGTTCGAGTCATCTGGGAAGTAGTGGCTGCAGCTAGGGATTCTTACTGATTATGAAGACAGAAGCGCTGTGTTCAAATGTTGGGGCGAGGGTTGTGGATTTCGTAGACGCGGCGTTGTTTGATGCCTCGGCAGGACCATCGACGCGTCTTATATGTCAACAATTCCATTGTGACTTGCAATCATATGAAGTTGACAGCTGTACAAGTGAACCTTCTGTTGAGCTCTATTGTTTGGGCGCAAAGTTGGCTGAACCTGGTACTTGAAGCAGGCGGGCCTCGGGTCTTGTCAAGCCATGACCGAATCTCGTGATGGAAAATGTTTCTGAGACGCCATTTCTCAATGGCCAGGGACGTTTCAGTGTCTCAGAGGAATGACATGGCTCATGCGTTGCAGAGTTTTGCCGTTACGTGGCCTCCAATAAACAAACTGGGGGACCTTGTGTATAAGATGGCCATCTCGGCAGATGGCTGGTATGCCTCTTCTGTATAGCATCAGCCAAGAAACACAACAGCAAGCCAATTAACAAAAAGCCCTGATGCTGAACCTCCTTCATCAAGGCGGATCCGCTTTGGGCAGCGAAACCCGTTGCCGTGCTCCATTCTGTAGTCATGGAATGGATCCGCGGATCCCCAAATCAGACAACCCATGACACGGATTCAGGGCAAAGCCATCAATCACGCTCCTCCCACAACACAAGCTGCAACCTACAGTAAGACGATCGGCCCCCATGTCGAAATGCAATGCAAGTCAGACGTTATGTAATCCCTCGCAGCCAACCAGCTCGATGCGTTTAACAATCGCCCGCTTCATCTGGCTGACGGCTCGGCTTCCACAGGCGAAAAAAAGTGCCGTCCGTGTCTTTGGCTGGGGGCAAATGCGCCGCCTCACTCCGATCATCGGAGACATGCCACCGGTCAACAATCGGACTTGGGAGCTGCGATTTGGGCTTCATCCATCAAGATAAAGCGACAGCTGGCTGCCCTTGCTCCCCCCGCTCCTCCACGTTCTCATTCTCTCCATCATCGGCTTCATCGTAACCGCTGCACATTGTGGATTGTGTAGTCTTGCAAAACGCGGTGAAAATAATCGACATCTCGAGCTCGGTTTAAGCTTCCCCTTTCCACAGCTTCCGCGCCCCTCCTTTGGCATAGAAAAACGTCACTTTGTGTGTGATTTCGGCCGCTCTTCTCCAATTTCATCCTCTTTTTTTTTTCTTCTCCAAGTTCCCGATCCTCCTCTCCAGATCCCGACACAATGCCTGTATCAGTATCAACTCCGCAAACCCTGTACGACAAGGTTTTCGCGAGCCACATCGTTGACGAGAAGCTCGATGGCACAATCCTGCTGTACATTGGTTCGTCACCTAGTCTTCCTCGCGCTTTAGAAGCCCCGAGCTAACCAGCGAGCCATGTTTAGACAGACACTTGGTCCATGAAGTGACATCACCGGTATGCCCGAGCCTCAGATCCCAGCCATCGAGATCGCTGCTGTCCTCCCGATTGACGAGTTATACTGATGTTGTACCTGCAGCAAGCCTTCGAGGGCCTCAAGAATGCCGGCCGCCAGGTCCGCAGACCGGACTGCACTCTGGCCACCACTGATCACGTATGCATACAACCATCCAAATATCCGTCGCAGCCGAAGAAGAATGAAGCTAACTCAAGCTGTGGCTTTATAGAACGTCCCTACCACATCTCGAAAAGGCATCAAGGACATTGCCTCCTTCATCAAGGAAGATGACTCTCGAGTGCAATGCGTTACCCTCGAGGAGAACGTCAAGGACTTTGGCCTGACATATTTTGGCCTGGGCGACAAGCGCCAGGGCATTGTCCATGTCATTGGACCTGAGCAGGGCTTCACCCTCCCCGGCACCACCGTCGTTTGCGGTGACAGCCACACTTCCACACACGGTGCCTTTGGTTCCCTGGCCTTTGGTATCGGTACCAGTGAGGTCGAGCACGTCCTGGCTACTCAATGCCTGATTACCAAGCGTAGCAAGAACATGCGCGTCCAGGTTGACGGAGAGCTTGCTCCCGGTGTCAGCTCCAAGGACATTGTCCTGCACGTCATTGGCCAGATCGGCACTGCTGGAGGTACCGGCGCAGTCATTGAGTTTTGCGGCTCCGTGATCCGAGGCCTCAGCATGGAGGCTCGCATGTCCATCTGCAACATGTCCATTGAGGGTGGTGCCCGCGCCGGCATGGTCGCCCCTGATGAGAACACTTTCGAGTATCTCAGGGGCCGACCTTTGGCCCCCAAGTACGGGTCCGAGGAGTGGGACAGGGCCGTTGCCTACTGGAAGTCCCTGGCCTCCGATGAGGGTGCCAAGTACGATATTGACGTCTTCATTGACGCCAAGGACATCATTCCGACCATCACCTGGGGTACCAGCCCCGAGGACGTTGTCCCAATCACCGGCACGGTTCCCGACCCCGAGACTTTCCCCACCGAGGCCAAGAAGGCGGCTGGTCGCAGAATGCTCGAGTACATGGGACTCACTGCCGGAACTCCCATGGAGGAGATTCTTGTCGACAAGGTCTTCATCGGCTCTTGCACCAACTCCCGAATTGAGGATATGCGAGCCGCTGCCCACGTTGTCAAGGGCAAGAAGATTGCCGCCAACATCAAGCGAGCCTTGGTCGTGCCCGGCTCCGGCCTCGTCAAGACACAGGCAGAGGCAGAGGGTATTGACCAGGTCTTCATTGACGCCGGTTTCGAGTGGAGAGAGGCTGGCTGCAGCATGTGCCTCGGCATGAACCCTGACATCTTGTCGCCCAAGGAGCGCTGCGCCAGTACCTCGAACCGAAACTTTGAGGGTCGCCAGGGAGCCCAAGGTCGAACTCATCTCATGTCCCCCGTCATGGCTGCCGCTGCTGCCATTACCGGCAGGCTGACCGATGTCCGCAAGCTGTCCGAGTACACTACCAGCCCTCACGTCCAGGCTCGCATCTCCCCGAGCCCTCCCACTGAAGCTGCTCACGTTGATGAGCGCGTCGAGGACTCTGACGAGCGTGAGGCCATCGCTGATCAGCCCCTGGATCTCCAGCCCCACACAAACACCCTGGTGGCCAAGGGTGATTCAACCGGCATGCCCAAGTTCCTCACTGTCAAGGGAATCACAGCGCCCATGTCTCAGGCCAACATCGACACTGATGCCATCATTCCCAAGCAGTTCCTCAAGACCATCAAGCGCACTGGTCTGGGATCGGCTCTCTTCCATAACCTGCGTTATCTTCCCGATGGTGCAGAGAACTCCGATTTCGTCCTCAACAAGGAGCCATACAGGAACGCCAAGATTCTAGTCTGCACGGGTGAAAACTTTGGCTGTGGCTCATCTCGAGAGCACGCCCCTTGGGCTCTGCTCGACTTTGGCATCAAGGCCGTCATTGCACCTTCGTTTGCCGACATCTTCAACAACAACATGTTCAAGAACGGCATGTTGCCCATCCAAATCTCCAACAAGACCGACATCGAGGCCATCGCTGCCGAAGCTCAGGCCGGAAGGGAAGTGGAAATCGACCTGCCCAACCAGCTCATCAAGAACGGCGCCGGCGAAACCATCTGCTCCTTTGACGTTGAAGAGTTCCGAAAGTACTGCCTGGTCAACGGCCTTGACGACATTGGCCTGACCATGCAGCTCAATGACAAGATTGACGAGTTCGAGAAGCAGAGGACCATCCACACTCCTTGGCTGGATGGCACTGCCTACCTGAAGCGAGGCAAGGACGGCAGACTGGCTGCCAAGGCTGTGCCCGTGCCCAAGACAAATCGTGGCGCGGAGAAGAAGGAGCCTCTGGATTGGTAGTTTGGGTGTTTGATGATTTGCTTTCTAACGTCTCCTTGTAATCTGTCTTGTTATCTTTCGTTTGGTTATGACTTGTCAAAGACGAATAATTACGCCGAGTCTATCATTAAATAGCCCAGTGCGGGTTGATAAGACAAAGGGATGAAAACTAGTGGATATAGCTTATAGGTAGCTTGCCGTGTCGGCCGATGGCCATGAATCAAAAGAGAATCGCGTCGTATGTGCGCACGTATACGAAGAAAGGGGACTTTACGCAGCTTTGTTTGTTCTGGTGGTTGAAAACGTGATCCATTGTGTTTGTCAGTAATCGTGCCAATATTGATAACGGCTCTGATAATACAGTCAGATATCACAAAGAGTCCTTGAGGATCCCAATGTGGACAACAAATCCAGCTTCGGGGCGGAGCTCTGCTGGCATCATCCCTCCCGGCATCCTCCACACCCGAAAGTGCTCTTTAAAAGCCACCAGCCAGCTGTTGAAGACATCGTCGTTGCGCAATTGCTGTGCCACGATGCATAAAGAGGGAAGAGCTTGATCACCGTCCGTCTGGCGTAACTTGCATATATCAACGCAGGTCTGGATAAAAGGCTGTATCAGGGCGTAATTAAAGACACAGTCGCAAGCAATGATGGCGTCGAAAGAAGAAACCGAAGGAGAATTGGTCAGCGAAGGCGTTACTTGGGACGTTTCCCAGTCGAGCACTTGGAAGCGGATATCTGCTACGGCGTTTAGGGGGCTTGAAGACGACGATTTGCTGCCGCCCCTTTTGGGTTTTCCGGCGTGGGATTTTGATGATGACGGTTGGTTTTCAGCAAGGTTCTGCAGGACGAGCTTCTGGACGTAAGGCTGGTCTGTGAGAATGTATCGTGAGACCTTGAGGGAGAGGGTGAGAGCGTTGAGAGGCGAGATTCCGCATCCGAGCTCGATGATGGAGCATGACGGGGTGAGAACGGTGCGGAAGAGCGGGTTTGAAGGGGAAGCGAGCCATTCTGCAAAAGCAGGTGTGATTTTCCAGACGACTTGTTTGTGTAGACGTCGTGTTAGTTGCACATTGTGACACAAAGCATGAGGGTGCCTGAATCTTGCAAGGTACCGGGGGAGGGTGAATGGAACTGACCTGCTCCTGTGGTACCGCCTTTACGACTTGATGCCAACACGCCGGGAGATTGATGAATGGTAATGTCTCTCCCGCCGAGTTGTAGCTCCAGGGCCGAGGCGTGAGAATCGATGAAGCCTAGGCCTTGAGATGGGATGTCGTTGGCGTAGAGGAGAAAGGTTTCTAAGATGGGAGGTTAGCGAAGAGAAGAAGATGGCGTAATGATATCAAGATGGCTTCGTGAGGCGGGCGGTGTAAAAGGATACACGTGATAGCCTACCTTCCTCGGCATCCTGGATTTCATCTTCAAGTTGAGAGATGAGCTGCTCAAGGGGATTCGCCATGGATTAGGTTATAAACCCAGTTTCTTTCTTTGTCGTTTATATATGACCAATGTCCAGCTTATATAAAGCGACGAGGGAAAGAAAAAAAAGGAGCTGCAAATAAAAGCCAAACCCCGTCAAACGCTGCGCTAAAGCTCGAAACAAAAAGCACATGTGCATACATGCACACCAAAAGTGTCAAACGAAGCAGTCGTCGTGATTATACCTCAAAAATGGCCGTCGCCGTATAGGCTAAGTCCAAGGCACGCCAACGACCCACTCTGCGCATCTGCTCACAAATCGAATGGTGAGTCTACGCTGCAGTCAGATTCTTATAATAACCTATTATTGGCACTGAAGGCTGCCCGGTGCGGATCCATCGGCAACAGTCGACCTACTGCTTATTTATAATTATGACAAAGAAGCGGCTTAGACCGCTCATGAGGACCAAGTTGAAGGTGAAATACAGGTAGTTACTGACGGTTATTACAAGCAATTTCGCAGGCTACAAAACACCAACTATACAAATCGCCAAATAAGACACAACACATGATTGCTCGTAAAAAGGGACAAAGAGGAAAGGGAAAAAAGAGAGAAGAAGAAAAATAGTCAAATCATACCCAACAGCCATAATTTCGCCTTCGGTTCTCTCTTTTGCACATGGAACATGCATGATACAGACTATCCTGTCCACCACTCCAGACGTCATCAGGAAGAGCAGGGCTATAGGAAAGAGGAAACTATAGAGGGGAAAAAGGAAAAAAAACAAGAAGCTGTTGTTAGGGGCAAAACATACACAACAGAGCTTCCTTCATATAAGTACCCAGTCGCCCGGACCCCCACCAAAAAAGAGAAACAGTAAAGGAACCATCAACAGAAGAAACAAGAGCAACGTTAAAAAACAATCTACACAAGGCCGTCGTATAAAGACAGTGCCGAAACAATCGTCTCGTCTCGTTTGCTTCCCTCTTTGAATTCTTCCATGTCGAGGCTGCCGTTTTCATCCTTGTCCATCATGCGGAAGATTTTCCTCACCCGCTTCTCGGGTGTATCTTCGTCCTCGGGAAGCTTGACCATGGAGCCAACCTGTGATTACCATGCGTTAGCTACATGACAACGCAATAACGGCTTGAGGTTGATAAGCAATTTAGGCCATACCATTTTGTAGATTGCCTCAACGATCTGGAGCATCTCGTCGTAACTTATCTTGCCGTCGCCGTCTATATCGTACAGTTGGAACGCCCAATCCAGCTTGTCTTCCATCTTGCCCCGGCTGGTAACACTCAGGGCACAGATGAACTCCTTAAAGTCGATACTACCAGACTTGTCGCTATCGAACACGTTGAACACATAATCGGCGAACGAACTCGGGTCTCCGAATGGGAAAAATTGCCGGTAGATCTTCTGGAACTCCTCTTTGGAGAGCATGCCCGATGGGCAATCTTTCAGGAAACCTGCATCCGAGAGTTTCCAATGTCAGAAAGTAAAAATGCACCGAAACCCCAATCAAATGGCGAAACAAGCAGACGAAGAACATCCAGCGTGACCAGCCAGAATGCAGACGAAATTGAGGGAGTGGGGGGTTCCAAGACTTCTCCGCCCCCTGTAACCCAGTGATGCTCACCTTTGTACCATTGCTGAAGCTCCTTCTTATCAAAGTGAGTCGACTTTTGGAGCTCGGCGAGCTGCTCCTGTGAGAGCTTTGACTGCCTACAATTGGAAAGCGAGTAAAACGTCAGCCATCAACATGTGCTGATCCAGGGTAATGGTAATGCGTGTGTGCCAATCAGCTCCGGCAGAGGCTAGCAGAATCCTGACAGCTAGCCTCCCTTGTTCCCCCTCCCCCTCTTTCGTTGTAAACGCTCGTGCACAAGTCCCTTGGCAATATGCGATATCAAGACTGTAGGGGGGTTTGCGCAAGGCCCACTCACGATTTGCCCATGTTTGTCCTGGGCCGATTAAAGAGAGGTTGGACTGAGCGGGAATAGGAGGAAGCGTTCGATTCTTAGGAGGACAACGGTCGTAGAACGAATGGGCGGCAAACTCCGGGGGAGAAGTAGGATGTCACGAGGTGCGCCGTGGCGAGGGTATCAAATCCAAAGTCTCCGGTAGAATATTGCGCAATCGGCCGACGGCAGTGTATCCTGTCACAATTCGGCGCTCGAGAAGAACGGCAATCGAATTCGGCCGTGCGCTCGTTTTCGCTCCCGGTCTCGTGCTTGTACGTGTCAGGGAAATGGCCGTCGTTCGTCGTGGGATGTCCGTCGTAATGGCTTGAGTCCTCCGAGGCTGCCAGCAAGCATGAGTGCAAGTTCAGACCAAACAGCCAGACGGCAGGCCAACCAGGCAAGGCAGCAAGATAGACAGGATAGGCCCGGACCGTGTCAAGAGCTCGAGGCCTCGAGGACTGGAGAGAGGACAGAGGGAGGGTTATATGAGGTACAGGGGAGTAGATAATCACTGCAGGTCGGTGGAAAGATGTTCCTGGCAGATACGCACGCACGCACAGTTCAAACAAAGACAGCAAGTATGCGCCGAGGCCCAATACGGCTTCTTTTTTCGGTGAGGCGGAGCCAATAGAGTCGGCCGTGGGAACAAAGGGCGAGAGGCGAAAAAGGCAAAAGGGCTGCGGTCTGGAGGACTTGGCTCGGGTCAGAGGCAGATGATGATGGGGGAAAAGCGGAGGGAACCTGTAGGGCAGCAGACAAGCAGCAGACAGAGGGAACATAGCCTGAGTACCGTCAGAGAGGGAGGGGCTTCTGTGGTGACGACTGGAGCTTTCCGTAGGTGGCTTTGGGACCTAGAGCCGCATCGCCCGCTAGGGAACTTCCAGCGCCATGGTGCAACTGTATTCAACGCTGAGTTGGCCGCTAGCTTCGGGGCTCCAGGCGGTTGTTTCAGCGTTTGTCAGCGCATCACGTCGTCGTCGTCGTCTAGCGGCCTGTAGCGGTAGCGGGGTTGGGCAGTGCAAGTTCCTCGGATCGGGGCTTTTCGTTCTCCAGAGTTTCCCGACCGAGTGTCCGGCTTGCCCAATTTCGCGGGAATACAAATGAGGAAGCTCAGGATAGCGACAAGCTGCAGCCAAGACAATACTTGCCCGATCCTGCGAGACGACCGACTTGTTTAAATGAAATCAAGTTGGCAGACAAAAGTGCAAAGGGACAAAAAGAGAGGAAAAAAAGATGGGGCTTCACCGGGATTCGAACCCGGGGCCTCCTGCAAAGGCGATTCTGAAGAATCGGGGACTTCAGGTTATTTTCCCGAAGCAGGAATCATACCACTAGACCATGAAGCCAGTTGTAGAATTGAACGAACCCATCGTTGGTTGAAAGCGGGGGACTTTAATTCAGCTTATATACGCAGCTGCTGCTTGTCAACTCGACAGTGGGATTGGCCATGTCGGTTGCTCTAATGCTCCTTCATGGTTAACCTGCAATCTAAACAGACAAAGAAAGAAATGCCTGCCTCGCGCTTTACAACGGACACGGATACAAGCTACAAGAAGTATCAAAATGGACGCTCGGAGAGTCAGTCCCTCAAATGTTTTCTTTTCCTATTTATTCATTACTAGTAGGCATATGAAGGCCTCATAACATGATTCTTATCCATCCACATATTATTCCGCACTCATATTAACCACCAACACGTTCTGGAATCATCATCGCCATGCGTCAACACTCTATTCTTCCCTCTCGTCGCCCTTCCCAGCCCGACAGCGTCTCCGCCGGCAAACCTCTTGCACGCAGACACTCGAGGCTATTCGGAACCAGCCTTCCAAAGACTCCAGCCCAGTCACGCTCGGCCTCTTTTGAAACACCAAAGTCAGGCGAGACAACAGAATCAGACCGTGATGAAGACGTGAAGCTTCGCAAGGCGTCGAGTCTGGCACCTATTCACAATGAAGAAGCAGAGATTCTTGGGCCTGTTGCTAGGTCCTCGAGCGCTTGGGGCGTCAGATCCCCGCCGCTTTGGCAGGAAATCTCCAGGATCTCCGACTCGGGAAGAGGAAGCAATTTGCACAGCCGATAGTGGAAGGATTCCAGACAGCTTCCGCTTCGCCCCAGGAGTGGAAATACGGATGGAGATGCTCGCGACTCTTCCTTCAGTAGCAGCATTACAACTATGCCGCCTCCAGCAATATTGCAGAATAACGATGATGAATCCAGCGTGATGAACGACTCCAAGTATGAATTGTCGGGCCCGGTTCCTTCAATGTTGGAAATGAGCCGCCATCTTCGGAAGACATCTTCCTCGTATCCCTCTCAGGGTAAAGCATCTACGCGGATTCAGTCGCCGGAATCAATGTTTCGTCCAAACAAGCTTAGTCACACCGACCTGTCTCGCTTCAGCAAGGCAAATGACCGGCTTTCGAACCTCCGCTCTACTTTATCTTCAGACGAGTATTATGACAGGACGATGAGCACCAACCCCCTCGAGGTGATGGAAGCTGTTGCAACCATCATGGAACGTCAAGGCCAGCCTCAGCCGCGAGTAACACCATATAATCAGTACGAGCTCGTGGAAAGTACAGAAGTGCTTCCCAGCGACTCTGCCTCGCAGCACCCAAGTCCCTCTGGAGCACATCTTGCGATTGGCACTCATGGCTCATCGAAGAAACCGAGAGGATTAACTTGGGAGAGCTTGGATACCATAAATGGTCAATACGATGGTGCAAATGAAGCGAACAATCGACTGGAGAGCCCTGCTTCTGCCGTACGGTCACCAAGCACACCAGCAGATCAAGAGCATCCTATCAAGAAGATCAAACGGAAAGCATCTGTCTTCTCTCTCCACAGCCTGGCCAACCCCCTTTCCAAGCACCCAAAGCTTGGCTTGCGGAAATGGGCCAGCAGCGTGTACCATCAAGGAAGTCAACGGCTCAGCCAGGCTCGACTGAAGTGGATACGTCCGGCTCGACAAGATCGGCGGATGTTTGAAACGTGGAGGATGCGTCATCGTGGGACGGACTCAGAATCGTCTCCTTGCAAAGAAAAGGCCGACAGGAACTCTGGCATATATTCGTCTGAGGGCAGGGTTTGCGCGAGTGAAGATTGGTGGATGGATGGCGTCAAGATATTTGAGGCGCCCAAGTGGATGAATTTCGGTGGTTTTTCTCGTTCTTGAGTGATGCTTGAGTGATACAATAGCTTGGACATGCATCTTGAGCCTCGGGCTGTCCTATACGGTAGTTAGATGAAATAGGTATTAGATCCAATCGATGAGTGTATAGGTAGGCTGGCTGTCTACATTATTTTATCCAAAACAGAAAATGAAAGAATTATCCAATATCCTCCAACTTCAAAAGTCTAAATATCCTACAACAGAGAGCTATGCGCCTAGATGAATTAGTGATTGCTTCGTCTCTTTTTTTTTTCACAGCATGTATCGGAACTTGTCTGCGTGTCTCCTTTTCTTCCCGGGAACAACCAAGCCGTCTTCTTCGACGGTCGTGCTGTCTGCTTGCCTCTCCTTTTCGGCCTTGTCCATTTTAAGGTTCTGCCGCTTCAGGTAGAAGCGCAATATGACGGCCAAGAAAGCCACGGAAAGCATGGCGGATGCGCAGGTCCACATGCCGCGCGTGTAGTACGGCGCCTCACGGTCGGGATAGAGGCGCGTGCCGATGAGGGGCCCGCATTGGCCGATGAGCTGCATGAGGGCGAAGCCGCCGCCCTGACGGCTCTGGCTGGCCTGGTTGTTGATGTTCCAGGCGATGACGAGGGTGACGACGTTGAAGAAGCCGATGGCGGCGGGGTAGACGGCGAGGTAGCGGACGAAGGGGGGGATGCGGAGGGGGTGGGAGAGGGCGAGGATGGCGTAGCCGAATGCCGAGGAGAGAGCGTGGAAGACGATGGGGGCGGTCCGGGCGGCGAGGCGATCGGACATGTGAGCAGTGAAGAGGACGGTGAAGAAGGCGAGGAGGTAAGGGGGCGCGCTCAGAGCTTGGGCGGTAAGGCTGTCGTGACCCATCTCGGTGAGGATCTTTGGGAGGAAGACGGGGAGGGAGGAGTAGGCCATGTTGGTGAGGAAGAACATGGCGGGCGTGATCCATGCGACAGGGTCGCGGAGAACGGAGAGGATCTCACGGGCCCTGAGGGGGGACTTCTTGTTGGTCTTTGATGGCGAGGAGGTTTCGCGACGGAGACGAAGGCGGGCGACCTTTTTCTCCCGCTTGGTGAGGTAGTGAGCCGTCTGGGGAGAGTCGGGGATGACGCCCCATGCGATGACGGAGACGATGACCGAGGGGAAGCCCTCGATGAGGAAGAGGAGGCGCCAGGGCGCAATGGGACTGAGCTGGCCAACCTTGACGATGATCCACGCAAGGGTTGATGCGAAGCTTGTCGCAAGGGGGGCGGCTGAGATGAAGATGGCAGTGCGAAAGGCCAATTCGTGCCTCTTGTAAAAGAAGCTCAGGTAAAACGGGACGCCTGTGAAGCCTGCCTCTCCTATGCCGAGCAAGACACGCAGTGTGATGAGCATCGGATATGACACGGCAATGGCTTGCAACGATGCTGTGACTCCCCAGGTCAAGACGAGGACGGAGACGTAGATGTGCGCCGGGACGAGCTTCCAGAGGAGGGACATCCATTCAAAGGCAATGTAGGCAATGTAAAAGGACGTGAGCGCCCACTCGTACCAGTCTTCGCGAGGAGGGCTGGACTGCAAGTCTTCGTCCATGCCGGCGATGCGCGCGTTGCCGATATCTAGGGAGATGGTGTGTTAGTCAAGTCCAGCCTTTCCCATAGAAGACGATTCATTGTATCACATCATTGCATTGCGACGTACTGGATCGGTCGAGAAAGCTCAGCATGTACAGCAGCGCCACGAACAGCACCAGCTTGCGGTCAAACTTGCGCCTCACGGCCTTGTCCTCGTCCGGCGTGTACAGCTGGAAGCTCTCCACGGAGCTGACGCTCAGGCCACGGCCTCTGCCTCCGCCCCCCATCGTCGCAGGTCCGGCGTCGACGTAATCACCCTCCATGAGCCGCTCGCTGCTGTGCCCTCCCCCGATCTTGTACTGGTCCTGTCGCCTCTTCCCGCTGCTGCTCACCATCTCGTACGTCTCCGAGCCGCCGCCGACCTGGGACCGCAAATCGTCGTCTTCGTCTTCGTCGTACCCGTCGCTGTCGAGGTGGAATTCCTCCCCCGTCTGGGCAAAGGACGGGGACTCATCGCGGGGGACGTGGTAGGCCATTGGCAGGCAGGCAAGTTGCACGACAAGACAAGGGACGGCTTATACTGGTTTGCGCGGCGGCGGTCGAGGATGGTCGCCATGCGGGTTTGATTTGCGATTCGTCCTCCGAAACGAGCACAGACAGACTCGCCTCTCCCTCTCAGTGCTCCGTATTCTCTCCCAGCGGGAATGAATGGGCGGCCCGGGGGGGTGCTGGGGAGGGGAGATTACGAGGGATAGCAAAGCAGCTCTTCTATAAAATTGTTCCCGTCCCCCCCTGTTAGAATGCGCGATAGCTGCAACTCCTATCCCTACCGAGCTACACGTGACAGGTGACGACGTCATATGCTGACCTGGGCGACTTACACGATCTCGAGTAAAAACGGGTGTTTTCTGTTGAAGAAGACGAAATAACGTTACTATATGTTTCCTTTTACTTTTTTTGCTATTTTTGTTTTATGTTGATACTTTTTATACCTCTTTGCGTCATATTATTGTGCACCAGTCCCTACATGCCAAGGCGCTGCTGCATCTCATCAATATGCGTCTTGGGTTTCGCCCTCTCACAGCATAACGAATCAATAGGTACCTCAACAATCGCATTGGATTGAATCAGTATTGAACCAATCATGGATTCCCTTTGCTATACCCTTGTGCATTACACTCGCCAATCCGCCTGCGGGATATCGTACACATGTAACCCACCGAACCCTCTAAGCTTTCTCCCAAGCACATTCCCAAGCTTCCTCCCATGTAGCGCCTTGATCCACCCGCTCAAATCCATTAGGTAGTAATTATGATAACTTTGAATGACTTGTCCATTACTCGGGAGCTTCTTTTTTACTAAACAAACGTCGCAGGCCCGCCCTCGAGATCTTGTGCCGTAGTGAATGCTGCTGGTCAATAGGCCGGCTGTTGGTGCTTCGTCGTTGTGAGGAACCGGCTGTCTGCTGCTCACGCTTGGCTTCGCTTCCCTCCTCGCCCAAATTCAATTCTTCAATGTCTCTCATTTCGCTGTCAAAGCTGTCCTCGTCATCGTCCTGAGGCACGCCGCGCTCCTCGTCTCCGTTGACGACGATGTACCACTCAATAGGCGGCGGCTCGTGCATCCCCAATTGCAGCTCATCGCGGAACCTTTCAAACCAGTTGCCCTCATCCCTCTCCTTGACGAGAGCCTCGTATTTGGCAATTTCCTCCAATACGTTGGCGGTCAAATCTATGCGAATGACGTGGTCTGCGACATAGGCATACGGTCGCGTCGAGAGTTTTGTTTCCTCCGGGTCATACTCTTCCAGCAGCTTCACCGGAGATGATTGGTTGACTAGCACACTGTCCTCGGCGTCGGGAACACGCGATGGAGGCACGGTCATATCATCGTCCTGATGGGGAATCTTCTTCTCCTCTTGCTTTGCTTCTTCCTGCTGGTGCTCTGAATTCTGCTCCGGCTGCTGCTGCGACGGTGGGCGTTGAGGCAAGTAGTCGAATTTGGTGGCGAAGCGGTCGAGGATGACGGCCGAGGTGGTGCGACCCGTGATCCAATCTGGCGCGGCATCCTCCAGATCCTGCATGATGACCCAGATGCGGATGAGCCTGCGCGTCCATCGAAAACCGTGGCATAAGTAGGTTGGCATGATGAGGGTGAGTGATGATGCTCTCTATACTGTGAAGAGAGAGAGTCGAGAGTCGAGAATAACAGGATAGGGAGGAGAGAGGGAAAATTAAAATCGTCAAGGGTTGAAATTCATCAGGATCTCACATGTCCCATCTGAATCGCGCGCATTGTTTGAAGTTGAGAGAGAGAGTATGTGTTTATACCTAGGTAGGGCAATGCATGCCTCTGGCGTCATGAGCCACTAGACAAGCAGAGTCACCGATTACTGTCCCCCCGAGTTGCTGTCTTTCTCTTCGTCCTCTGTTGTTTTGTTTCTGGCAATTTGTAATGACTCTCTCCCACCTTCTGCGAGCAAAAAAAGACCCAGAACGGCGGCAGAGGAGGGTGAGGCCTCTCTGGGAGTTGCAGCTGGGAGGATCGAGACTCTGGAACTTTGAAGGCTGGAGGGAGTGGCACACCAATTGCCCAGCTTGTGGCACGTGTCTGCAGCCTGTTTATTGATGCGACGGAGTGTCTTTTAGGTGGGCTGGTGGAACATGAAATGCCTTGATGTAGACGGTGAGGCGCGGAATATTGATTGTACGCTTGATTGCGCAGGGCCGATCAATTAGAAGAGCAATCAGACGGCGCCAAGGGGAGATGCGATTGATTGATAGGTAGGTATGGAGGTTGGAGGTTGTAGATGTTATTGGTACGGTAGAAGCTGTCAAAATGTACGGACGGGTACAAGCACAGACAGCTCCCCCCAAAGTCCAGACTCCATGCCTCAGCTAGCTACTGGGTAGCGAGTGGGTTTATTTTGACGGGATGACATGACAGCACCGCATCCCTGCGAATTAATTAGCCTGCAAGCGGCATGAGCTTTCAATGTCTCAGACACTGGCCTAGCGCCCGACGATGCTGTGGCGGGCTGCTGGTAAATTACTGGGTCGTACCGAGTCAAACTAGTCGAGGTAAAAGCTGGGGGGAACATCCCAGCTATTGATACACAGAGATTTCAGTGTTTTATCATGTGTCACCTCAATAACGGTACATACAACAGCTGAGCTCGGGACCGGTGAGCTGCTTCAAGCCCGAAATGAAGAGCATCTGTCCCTGTAACCTGTACCTTGCATTAGATCTCGTATCGGCAATTTCTCCAACATCTTCCTCCCCCGCGGGAAAAGCAATCTGTAAATTACATTAGTAACAAGGTAACAGTTCCATTACATCGCTAGCAGCAGGTACCTGGTACGATAGTTCAGGTTGGTGGCATGACATGACAACTTTCATCACAATCGCCAAATGTGGCGGATGCCGTCACACGTGGGCTGATGTATAATTTCGGCCAAACGGGGGTGTAATGGAAACTCTATGTGGACATTGACGTGCTTCTATAATGTTATGTCAGTGATGATTATGATGGCTATTCTTTCACTCTCTGTCTTTCTAGGTAGAGAATCAACATCAAGGTGTATCATGGTAAACTGTATATACACTTTCATCATCGTCTCAGCTTGCTTTTAGTAAACCCCCAGAGTCCACGGTCTTCATGACGAGTACATTTCATAATGCCTTCTGGGAAATTGATATAGACGTATTCATCGTCAACATACCAACTCAATTGTTCCTGAAAGCTAAGCAGAAACAAAACATCATAGAGGGAGGCAGCGTCAGAGGCTGTGAGGCGAGTGCAATAAAATTCCCTATGCCTTCGTATTGCAAACACAGCTGCACGTCGGACCGACTTAATCTCGTCCTTGAGCCGCGCCGCTATAGCAACCAAGATTTCGTCAGGTAAAGTTGCTTGCTGGCTTAAGAACTGGACAGTGGCCGCTCGGACAAATTCATCGTCGTCTTCAAGCCGTGCTGCTATAGCTTTTATGATTTCGTCAGGCAAGGCTGTTTGCTGACCCAAGGTTTGGACAGTAGCCTCTCGGACGGATTCACTCTCATCTTCAAGCCGTACCGCCATGGCTTTTAGAACTTCATTAGATAAGGCTACTTGCCGGCCCAAGGACCGGACAGTAGCTTCTCGGATAGACTTCTCCTCGTCATCAAGCCGCACTACTACAGCCTTGAAGATTTCCTCTGGTAAAGCTGCTTGCTGGCATAAGGACTGGAGAGCAGCCCTTCGGACGAATCTATCCTTGTCTTCAAGCCATGCTGCGACGCCTTTTAGAATCCCTTTAGGTAAGTTCGCTCGCCGGCCAAAGACCTCAAGAGCAGCCTGTCGGATAGGCTCGGGCATATCCTTAAGTCCCGCGACCATGTCTTTCAGGATCTCGTCAGGTAAGGCTTGTTGACGTAAGGCTCCAATGGCAGCCCATTGAAAAGACCCGTTCTTGCCCTTGAGTCCCGCGGTTAGGATCTTCAGGATCACGTTTGGTAATTTCGCCTGCCGGCCCAAGATTTCAATAGCAGCCATTCGGATAAGCCAGTCCTGATCCTTAAGTCCCGCGATTACGTCTTTCAGGATCTCGCTAGGCAATCTTTGCCGGCCTATGGCTTCAGCAGCAGCCCGTCGGACAGACGCGTCCTTATCCTTGAGTCCCGCCGTCATGTTCTTCAGGATCTCGTTCGGCAAGGTTTTCTGACTCAAGGCTGTAGCGGTAGCCTGTCGAATGAACCTGTCCTTATCCTCAAACTGCGTTACCAAATCCATCAGGATCTCGTTAGGCAAGCTTTGCCGGCCTAAGGCTTCAACAGCAGCCAATCGGGCAGCCTCATCCTCATCCTTAAGCTGCGCTGCTAAACCCTCCAGGATTTCGTTAGGTAAGTTCGCTTGCTTGCCCAGGACTACAGCAGCAGCCTTTCGGACATACCCCGTCTTATCCTTTAGACGTGTTGCTACAAAGTCAAGGATCTCGGCAGGCAAAGACAACTGCTTTAAGGCCGTGATGGTAGCAATTCGGGAAAACCCTTTGTCGTGCTCTAGCCAAGAGACTACCTCTTTAGTAATGCTCACCGGAAACGTAGGTCGTTTCTTTAGCGATTGAAGAATGCTTGCTTTCACATCATGGGACCCTTCGCGAAAGGCAGCGCTCAATGACTGCTCAGGAAGCTCCATCTCACTTGCTAAGTGAAGAATCTCACTTTGTGTGAATTCACCTTCAAACACTATCCACTTGGCCAGATGCCGTTCCAAGTGGACTCGAACTGGAAAATCACTCAATACTTCGCTCAAGCAATGCATGACTAGCCGTTGATGCGTAGGACCTAAAAAATCGAGTGGTTCCTCCTCGATTTTCTGAAAAAACTCGGCGATTTTCCCGTCGTCTTCTTCCCTTTTGGTGTCAAGTAATCCGGCAACAAAGCGCCACAAGATGTCGTAGCGCGCTGTGTATTTGTGCCTCTGAAAGAATTTGACAGGTTCAGACTTGTCAATCTTCCCACTGCTGAGTTGTATACAATTAAGCGGTGCTCCGGCAACCCATTGCCGTACAAAGTACCGTGCTGCGAAGTACTCCTGAAAAGTGAGGTGTATAAAGTGATAGCTTCGGTTGCGGTCTTCTGATGAAGGGTTTGAGGTTCGCAGAAAGGAAAGACACGGAACGGTCTTGTCTGGCAAGAAATTCCGGATGGAGTCAGATATACGGTTCAAATGGTTCTGTTCAAACTCTATGACATCATCATGTAGTCCAGTAAACGCAAGGCTCTCAAGGAAAAGTATCTCATCTTGGACGAATTCTTCGATCTTTCGGCGACTGGCAGCTTGGATATGGCCTGCCGTTACTGGATTCTCGCCATGTGTTTTCTTTAGTCGCAAAACGTCCTTCTTCCACAGGCTAAGTTCTATAGTTTGGTAAAGCGCAGACATGGTCGCCGGCATGTCGCTGCGAATGTCCTTCCAGGAATAGCAAAGCGCATCCAGTTGAATGGGGATACGCACAAGGCCCTGAATTAGCCAATGGTTTTGAAGAAAGGTCCAAACTTTGTTGACTGTTCCCATATCAATCTCGATCGTTTTTGGATCAGTAAAGACTTTTTCGATGTAGTCCTTCACTTGATCTGGGTAGAATCCGATTGTTTCTAATTCGAGATCCATGCCAAGTAGCATCTTGCCGGATGGCCGAGAAGTGACTATGATGTTTGGCTGTTTTAAAAGCTCGTTAAGGAAGTCAGACATGCTACCTTCGCCAATGTCTTGGGATACTTCATCTAAGCCATCAAGAAGAAATAAAGTCCTGCTGCTCTTCGTCTCCAACTCCAATTCGTAGGCCAAAAACAATTCTCTAGCAAACTCTGCTTTCTCAGACGACAGAGAAAAATATTCATGAGCGAAGAGCTGTTCAAAGTTGTATCCGGCTATTTCACGTCGTTCTTTGAGCTTTAGATTTCGTAGAGGTACCCAAAGGACGCGGTCAAATAAGTTGTTCCATTCGCTCCAGGTGCCTCTAGTAAATTCATGGATAATCTTCTTGCATAAAGTGGTCTTGCCGACTCCTGCGCGTCCTCGAATCATGATTCTTCTTGGTTGTATTAGATTACCGTCGCGTCCTCTGCGTTGATTGAAGATTGTTTCCAATTTAACCTGGATCGCTTTTTCTGGTGTCTCAACCTTTTGTCGATTGAAGAGCGAAAATGGGGAGGTTGTTCCGTAGCCCCCCTTTGAGCGTCTTGCATCCTGGTCACGCTGTTCCACAACGACGAGATTGATGTAGCATTGATCCATGGACAACAAGTCACCCGAGAGACGTTCGATCTTGAGCTTGTCTGCAGTATAATGCTTGTTCCGTATCCAGGCATCAGCGTCATCGAGCAAGGAATTTGCACGAATATTCTGGAGAATTTCTTCAATTTTCGCTGCAACGCATTTGTAATCCGGATCTTCAGGGTCCTCGAACTTGTTCATCATTACATGACTTCGATCGAGTGGCAGCGGGTGTGGGACAATATCCAGAGTTGCCGAAGAGCTATCAACGAGCTAACGGCCGTTAACCTACTATCCATTTGCCCTGAACACAGTATAAAAGGACCAAAGCGTCGAGGAGTATATTCTACTTACCGGCTTTGGCTGGCAAAACTGGTTCATCAGAGGAGACGGAATCAACCAGCTCAGAGGGAATTTACGGTGCAGACTTGTCATGCCGGTTTCGTAAAAAGTAATCACTTGGCAAGGATAATCTTTGTCTTGACACAGCTGAGTGAAGCTGCGCACAAGTTCCTCGAGATCGAAAGTCGATCCCTTGACCGAGTCGAGAAGGTTGCTCACTTTTTGACCTCGAATGAAAGCCCAGGTCCTCAGACCAGGCTCCGCCCAGTTTGCTACATCCTGAAACGAAGTACCCCGGAAGGGCGTGGCCAGGAAGATAATCCCGCGGGTTGATTGTCTAATAGCAGTATATTCGCTTGGAGGATGGTCAGCGATCACGAGAGCCTTTATTAGAACGAGACCCCCTAGACATGATGCAATAAAGATGATTGGACGATCTTTTTTCCTTTTGTGCTTGGCCCTTGGCAAAGGACGTCTTTTGATACCGGCGAGCAAGAGCCGAGCAAACACCTTGACTGTCTTCTGGATCAAATCCGGCTGTTCAAAGAGGTGGGCTGGCCAGTCACACGTGAAGATCCGAGCACGTCCTATTCTCCCTGGAAGCATCTGCGGGGATGCCAGCCAGTTGACATCCTCACGGGGGGGTTTTGACTTCCAAACCCACGTTTCCGATGATTTCGTGTCCAGGCCATGGATTGCAATAATATCGATGTCTGTCTCGGCGTCGGCGCCAGGTGAAGGGTAGATCTGGGTGAGACTGACGCCCCTGTGAGGCGCCATTTCCGACGGGGCTCTACGTCCGAAGGAACTCAGAACTCCAACACTGCTCCGTTCACTTGGGCAGTCCAAGAGGAAACGTAGACCAGTATAGAGAAGAGAAAGTGGCAACGCACAGAGGAAAAAAGGAACTTGAGGCGTGGAGCAGGAAGACGTCGAATAAAGAACGCGAGGCTCATTCAGCGGGGAATTGCGTGCCATCGTTAGCATGATGCAGCCTTGTTGCCAGGCTACATGGTACCTCAGCGTGCACTATAACACCCATGGATCCATCCAATTGCAGCTCGCTGTAACATTGGACATCCATGGCTTATCATCCTGCCGCTTACCTGCATAAAGCTAGGGCAATGAGTGTTGTTTGGTTCATATGGCTTTGATGTGGTTAAATTAAACACCAAAGCGATAATCACAAATCACCCGTATCTCAGGTACAGCAGTAGCAGAGATTAGGTAAGTAATGCGGTATCCTACCTCTTTCCTTTACTTGAAGATGCCTGTATTGCACCATCACCGCAGAATCGCACCTACCTCTATGCCTCACCTCCTGGACACGTGAATTATCATCGTCAGCGGCATCTCGGATGTCTGCATCTTCAACTTTTTCAAGTTTTTTTCGCCAGTCACAATTCTTTTTAGAGGATTTCAATTTCAATCGTTTGCTTGCCAATTTGCTATTTACCGCTCTACCCCCCTTTTGCTTTTCATGCTATATCATGCATATTTTCATTATGCGTCCAAGTTGAGATTGATCTTTATTGTTCCCAAAAAAAACATACCCAAAACATCCTTTCCGTTATGCAAAAAATGCGACTATCAATGCTCATCTTTCATGTATACATTTATGCAACAATGGTATATGGGAAAACGACCAAGGAAACAGTGTCAATCTCTCGCCGTCTTCGTATACTGAGGCCCGGACTCTCTTAGTCACGCCCTCTACAGACTCACTCCCCCGTCGTGCTCGATTCCTTCCATGGATCCCAATCCAAAGTCGAAATCCATATCTTTGAGCATATCACCAAGCTCTGCATCAGAGAGATTGATGTCCATATTGGTCGGCACAGCGGATGGGAAGCTGTTTACACCCTCGGGCTCCTGCTGGATGGGCTCTCCTGAAGCCAATACGGGCAGCTTCGTGTGCAGCCACGCCTTGAACTTTTCCAAAAGGATGGGATCATCAGCGGCGGTGTGGGTGGCCTTGAGGATCTCCCGTCCCTTGGCTTTTAGTCCTGTGTCTGAAGGCAACACCCCCTTGTCCATAAAGTATGCCTTTGCATACTGCTGCAGGCCCCATTCCAGCTCACGAGAGCAGAAAATGACGGCCGGTTTCTGATTGGGGGATGATGTCAACTCCTCCAAGTAACTGTTGACTGCTGAGTGTCCAGCTGTGAAAGGCTTGGCACCGGTTCGCATGGCTACTTCGACATCGTTATTGACCATATCATGGTCCTTGCGAATGGCATATGGTGGTGCAAAGCCCGTGCCGCCTTGCTCCAACGCCCAGGCATAGCCTGGTGGGAGACCCGGGCCAGAGTCATTGATGATTCCAATGTCTCTCTTGAATCTGTGAAGCCATTCTGCGTTATCGGCGGCGGTATAGTTCCAGGGATCGTCACTATTAAAACACAATTTCATCAGCATGATTCATCTCGAGGTTGTGCGCATCAGAACTTACTCATCATACAAGATCCATCGAGCTTGGTACTGCAGCTCTTCATCTGTTGGCACATGGCGGTTTGGGTTGTTCTTTGACATGGTCGAGGTCACCCATCGCTTGAGCTCCTTCTCCAGCCTTCGGTAGCAGTTGGCATCGTTGAGGAAGTACTGGAACGACCTCAAGTGATTACCGTTCTCATCGAGCCTGGCCTGGAACTCAGAAAAGGGGTTTGGCGCAGCAGTGGAGAGAGAAATGGACATTTTATCAGCTACTTTGCTGGCAATCGGTGAGGTACCCTTGGAGGAGCCTGAAAGGGTTGATTGGTCAGGAGCATTGCGTTGCCTGAAAGCCGCGAGCCATTCATGGTTGTCCGCCACAGTCTGGTTCCAGCCGTCGTCGAACTCGTAAATGGTGATACGAGCCTTTCGCTGCAGCTCTTCGTCTGTGGGCTCTCTACCAATGGCACGCTGCTCCTTGAGGAATGCAACCAGCTCAGACTCCAGCCGGGAGTAGTTGTGGATTGTGGAGTCGATCGAGTTTGGATCTGTCGACCGGATCGATTTGTGCTGGACGTCTTCGCTTCGAGGCAGATGCGCACGCCGACGGAAAGCTGCGAGCCACTTCGTCGACGACGTGATCAGTCGCAACAACCAGTTAGCAACCGCCTCCGAAGGGTGAGTGCACACTTCTTCGACTCGTCCCACGATCTTACGTGCTTCCTCCTGAAGCTCGTCATCCATGGTTGTTAGGCCCAGTAGTTGCTTGGCCTTGACGTATTCATGCAGCTGCCTTTCCATGGGGCACTCCTCGAAAAGATTGTCCTTGCCGTTAATCTTGAGAGATTGAAGCCTGTTTTCAGCGGCGCCACGGAGAGGACCAAACCTAGCTGTTTTGACAATCATGTCGTGGCTCATGATAATGTCACGAAGCCACGAGACTTGCGTCGCGATTCCTTGCAAAGATAGCAACTCGGAGGCGAAAATGATACGACATCCTTCCAGCAGCATGTCTTCGTCGCTTGGTGCGCGGCCGTGTTGATCCCAAAAGTTGCTGCCAAAGTAGGCCAGTTCCAGTTTGATCAACTCATAGGCATTTCTGGGCGATTCGGGCGGGGACGAGCCAGCATTGTACGGCAGAGGAGACTTTCGCTCATGATGAATCAAATCTATATTTCAAAAGTTAGACGCCTTGAGCTGATCTACGGGATACTGCAATGGTCTCATACATGGAGGGATCGAGTTCTCGACCATGTCCAGCACAGGTACTTCAAAACCCCAGTCACCCTTCCAGTCCGCCATGGAGTAACCAGTCTTGAAATGCTCCGCAAGGTGGTCAACTCGAATAGTCCAAGTATCCATCACAATGCCGCAGAAACCACACCTCGACCGAATCTCGGGCGTCGCCACTCTCCAAAGCTTCATTGCCCACTCCATGAATTTGACATTGTGAACCAACCTAAGGTGCTGGTTCAAGTGGTCTTTTCGGTAGAACGTCCTCTCTTCCAGAGATCGCTCCTGACACGCCGAGTGGTTGTGACTCTCCACGTGGGCATCATCTGGGTTCAACTCGCCACAGAATACGCAGCACAGCTTCCCGTTTTCTGGGTTGACGGCCCGAGGACCATCCGGCGCACACACCCATCTCTCCAGCGACAGGTGAAGAGATTTCTCGTGGCGCTGCCAGTCGTGCTTGGTTCTGAAGGTTTCCGTACAGAAAGTACACTGGAAAGTCTTGAGCGGAATAGAGAGGCTGGTTGAGCCTCCCTCCTTGCCGGGCGCGGCCCTTCGCCTCCTTCGCCGCCTTCCCTTGGCGCTGAAGGCAGCCGAGCCGAAGGAGCCCCATGACTTTTGCGAACCATGAGAGAATGCAGATTGAAGAGAGCCACCACTGGAGTGGGATGTTCCCACACTGCTGGCAGAAGACTGGTTGCAGAGAGACCTGCTTGAGCCGTCGTCTGTGTAGTTGAAGCTATAAGGACTGTTGAGGCCGGAAGATACTCCAGATGACGATGAAGCAGTAACGGCCCTAGCAATGGCGGTGACGGAAGCCGGTTCGTGTTCAGGAGGAGAGTGCTCCCAACGCTGCAACGGGTTCATGGCTTCGAGAGCAGGTGTTCCCCGTCTGCGTGGGATATCGATCGAGGCAGACAGATTGCCAACGTGAGGAGAGGTTGACCTAGGAGGCTGAGCCTTGCCGCGGCGCCGGGCGTTTGCCAACCAATTGGTGATTTGGGTCTTGTTGAGGCCGGTCTGGCGCTGAAGCATCTCTTTTTCCTCATCACTAGGATAAGGGTGTCTGTTATGAGTTGACAGCCAGTTTTTCAGAATCCGGACTGACTCTCGAGAGAATCTGGCACCAATCTTGGGTGGTGTTCCAGACTTGGCACCAGCAACGCCATCATCAACTGAACCGGCTGTCTGCGGATTCATCATGTCCAAGAAGGACGATGTGCCCTGTGCCTTTACCGGCTGGAGGTTGAGGAGGTCTTCCTGGGGAATGGTGTTGACGGGCATATCAGTGGATGACCAGGAGAGCCTGGTGGACTCTGGGTTCAAGCTATCAGGGACAACTCCCCCGAAGCTGCATTCAAGTCCAAGGGCAACACAGCTGGTGCAGTAGCCCTTGTGAAGACCCTCTCTGATTTTTTTGCATGCGTATCCGCCCAAGACGCAGTGGGCACAGGGGTTGTCTGGTGTCTCCCAAAGCAATGACTCGGTGATGAGGGACTCGACTCCAGGGATCTGAGAGAAGTTGTTGTGTTCAAAGTGCTGAAGGGCACAGAAGCTGAAGTCATCTTCATTGACGTTCTCGAGTACGAGACCAATGTCGTCCTCGGCAGGGTTCCCGGTGGACGACATGTTAGGCACAGGTGGGTAGACGCTGTCAGCACCTAGGCCAGCGTTGTCCCAGTTGACATACTCGTCCAGCTCATCAATGATGGTCATCTTGGTAGTTTATGTGAAAGGGCGCGCCGTGCTATTGTCTTGAGCAAGCGGAAAGGCGTGGTCACTTCATCCAACCAGAAGCCACAGAATGACTTGGAAAGGGCGCGCGGCAGGGTCTGAAGACGACGAGCCGACCCCAGATGTCGTCCCACCTTTCGGATCCGATCCCAATGAGAGGAAAACCCCGACTTTGGGTAACTAATGGTCAGAACCAAGGACAATTGTGAATCGTGAGATTGAAAACAATGATGAAGATGAGATTTCAGTGTTGACCTGATGAAGAAAACCACAGTTGAGATTGCAATAACAGGAGAAATGTGGCTCGAGGCGAGGCGGACCATTGCCAGTTTTGTTCATCTGCCTACCCACGCGATCCCCAGCAGGGTCTCTCCGTAACGAGG